TGATCCTAAATGGGATAATGATAAGGTTCGTTCGGACAGCAATAAAGTTTTATGAAGTTGCATGAGGCTAATACACAACAACTTGAAAAAGCTGGAAGAACTTAAGACTTGATTCTCCCCAATGGACCAACCCTTCTTGCATGTTCCCAGTGGTTATTTAAATGTTTAAACGTCTGGAATGTGATCATTTTGATCTTGATTGATCACAATGTGATCTCTAAAATTCCAGGTTTTACGACTAACGTCATGCAAAATGGTCATGAACATGTGACATGGTGTTTAAGACAACACATTGTTTATTTCAGAAGATGGATGGACAAGTTGACCTCGATTGATTGATTGATTGAAAAATGCAGGTATTTAGACCTATGATCTCTCGGGAAGGAAGAGATTAGGTAAATGAACTTCTTCTTTTTTGTCGGTATAGACCGACTCTTAAAGAAAGAAAATGAGCTATCATTCTGTATGGAGTACTTTTGCGGACCACTTTACTTTCTGATAGGATTTTTTCCTTTTTTTAATTTGAAGAAAAAATAAATTTCGATGGGTGAAGTCTTTGGTATAGATTGTCTAAACCTCCCCTATAGAAAAAAAAAAAAAAAGAGTGGCAATTTTTCGAGAAAAAAATGATATACAAGTTCTACCGTTCATTGCAAGAATTTCATTCTTACGTGTAACAGGCAGTTTCGAGAAAGAGTAAAGAGAGTAATTTGCTTTCGTTCGAAAAATTTGATATGTATCGGCAATATGTTACACCAGCTCTGGGTTACACACCATGACTTAACTAAGGGAGAAGAATGATAAATCCCTAAGAAATCGAAACGTTTTAAAAAAACACCTTATTTGGGGGAAAGGGATACATATTGGTCAGATAATGACCTTGTAGAAAAAAAACCAAAGGATTAATTAAACGACATTACTTTGCATTTGATGATTAAGAAATAACAATTTAGTAAAAGATATCAACAAATTTCTTTCAACAGTTGTGACCATCAATGAATGCACCATGACTTGACAATTCGCCTATTGCCTTCACATAAATCGAGGTATAGCACCTCGCAGGTCAACAATCAAACAAACAAAAGTCGTAAATAAAATGTATACCCCATCAAGCTATGGCCCTTTTCCTCTTCCCCACTTTGCTTCAGTAATAATAAACGAAACGATGCATGCAAGTTTAAAAAAAAAAACCTTCTGTGTTCAGATATCTACTCTTTTGACACATCCACATTAAAAAAGATATCGATAACATTGTCAACTCTGTAATTTGTTTTCTTCATAAGCTAAGCTTGCGCCACATAAGAAATCGCAATGAATTAAGGCATTCAAATAATGGTGTGATATACTTTTGTAACGAAATAAGAAGAAACATACAAATAAGCCCATCGAAACAATAAAATCCTGAAGTTTAAAGGTGAACTTGACGTCAACAGGCCAAATCACCACCAGAGATATGTTCACTAATGTTATGTAACCTACGTGGATCTACGAATAGTGAATACTATTTGAAGCAATGAGTTATGACTGAGTATGATAATGTTCTATTATCTTTGAGCAGATACAGGATAGCGAGATCGGTCAGTAGTTTGAAAGATCAGATCGTTCTCTAGATGTGAAAATGGGTGCGAAATACAATTAGGCCTATTGAAACAATCACATCCTGAAGTTTATAGGTGACGTCAATAGGCCTAAACACCATCACAGATGTTGACTAATGTTATGTAACTTACGTGCATCCACGAAGAGTGGCTGTGCGTCTGGTCCCTCTTCCGTGCACCATCTCCACCTCGATTAGGAATATCGTTGCAGCTAATAGTAAGATCCATGTAAGAGCGTTTAAAGTCAGTGACGCCATGCTGTGACCCATCCCATAAAACTTCTTCAAGATAAGTTCAAAGACGATTATCATCCGAAAGACAACTTCATTCCAAGTTGGCGTACGTTAGTAATTCCCTGCACCATCAGCTTTTGTCGGTAGAAAGTTAGAGGCACAGACATTCATACGTTTACCCCCCGCAGACACTGAGTAGAAAATGAGTTCATAAAATGACGCCAAGCGGATAAAGCTCCGCTACCGAATTAACGCGCGCTTTCACTTGAGCAGTTAGTGTACGCAACGTTATTTCCGCCTATTTCCAACACGTCTTGTGCTAAATGTGTGAAGGATGCACAGCAATCATGACTTGTCATGCATCTATGTCGTTAAAATTACTTTATAAAATTGTGTTCTAGAATGTTTGCAGTAATAATTATATACCTTTTAACGCCTTTGGTTAATGATGATAAGGAAAGAAAAGGTTTACATGTATTTGTATTTTTTCTGTGCAAGGTTAATCAGTAGAAATTATTAAGGCACTGCTTCCAACCAGTTACATTGTACAGTGTAGTATATCAACTTTTATCCTAATTCGAGATAAATATGATATAATTAGGCCTACCATGAATAGGGCCTACAGTATATTGGAAAAAATATTGAAATTAATCAATGTTTATCTAGCGTTTTGTCTTTCATTTCGATACGGTGGTCATCGTACAAGTAGCAATTTGTTTGATGTATCGTATAATAACAGTAACATTTTGTCCAGCCAATGGTGTTCAAGTATTGCGTGAGAGTCATGTCTCTAAAACAAAAAGCGACATTGAAAGCATTAGCGGGGACACCCCAGCAGACAGACAGCCCACGAGACAGACGATAATAATGTCGATCTTGGCCCCGTCTTATAAAGAGTTGATATTAATCGAAAATGATTTGAACTAGATGGCGTCTATAGGTCAACCTTCATAGAAGTTTTCAAAAGGCCCACGAGATGTTCCCATTGGTTTTCGGTCTCGTCGGGGTCTACCCTCTTCACTGATCAGAGAGTTTACTAGACCGACATTGTCAGTCCCTCGGGCTGTCGGTCTCATGGGCTTGAACCCTGAACTTTGCAGTATTAATCCCCTTTGCAGCTCACTCCGTGTTGGGCACACTGGGCAAATTACAATGCCATAAAACATTGGAATTCCCTTCCCAATGGTGTAGAAGAAAGTGAATGACATGTTATATGATTGAAATGTTTATTCTTCTGTCGGTTCATACTTTTTCATGTTGTATATACTTATGTTTTCGTACGTTATAGAAATTCTACAAATTCATCATTATTTTCCTCTTCTTCCTTCTCCTCTTTTTCTTCTTCTCCTTCTTCTTTTTCAGTTAGATCATAATTATCGTCCCATCGTCCTGTTCAGTATGCTTAAAGGTAAAGACCAGTTATGGTCATGCGATTGCAGTGTGAAAGAAACGTTGTGGAATCGATCAGAAAAGGTTGATCATCTAGCATCTGCAAGGTTCTGGAATCATCAAAATGATAAGAAATTTGGCCCGTTCTTCGTAAAGTTACAAGCACTATACACAGAAAGATGTATATGGGACTACCCTATATCTCTCACAGACCATGAGAGAAACAAATTTACCAAATATATGAATTAGTAGGCGGTTTCCCGGCAAATTTTTTATCATCATGACTGTATTAGTCAAAACATATTCTTTCACATGATTGGTAATGAGAGCTTCCATTTCATTTTTTGAAATTGGGGCGTTTCCAATATTGGTCTTTACCTTTAATATCATTTCTATCATCTGTTTAATGTTGTTATTATTATTATTATCTTTAATAAGTAGTTTAATTTTAAGTTTAATTGTCTTATCTGTCTGTAAATATTACTATTTTAACTTATTAATATTATTGTATACATGTCTGTAAGGGACCCCACTGGAACTAAGCTCTCGAGCTTTCGTGGGTTATCCTGTTCAAGCTGACTTATGTTTGATCTGTTATTATTGTATATTGTTGTATGTTGGAAGCTTTTCGAATAAAAATCAATCAATCAATCAATCAAATTCTTCCAAGACGAAAATTGATTCCATACTCAAAATACAAAAAAGAGCTGTAAGGATCATTTCTTCTGCCGATTTTTTTGGCACGTACAAATTTGTTTTTCTTTCTTTCTAACAAGTTTGGGGTGCATGAGAGCAAACAGTGGCATGAACGACATGCCATAGTTAAGTACAGCGACCTTAGTCTTTGTGAAACACCCCCTGATGTGGTAGCCGATCAAATGCTTTCTGGATGTCCATAAAGAACACATCGGTTTGGCCTAGCAGATGGAGGGTGTGAGCCCAGTCGTGATTCGCTGAAAGTTGGGTTGTTGTAGAGGGACGAAATATGGCTGGGCGATTTCGGTTGCAACTACCTTAACCAGGCGAGGAGGAACTTCATCAGGCCCACATGCTTTATAGATGGATTCACACATGCCGATAAAACATGGAGTGGTGTCAGGGATGACCTCTTCCCATGTTGATGGCTAGCAGTTACCTGCAGCTAGTTTTAGCATAAACAGTATAACATGGCGCAATAAAGTATTACAGGCCGATGCCATCATTAATGCAAACAAAATTACACCTTATTTTGAACGTGTATCTACTAATTTTGCTATTAATATATTTTCGTAATATTTTTTGAAGAAAGTAATGGAGATAATTAGCATTATTTTCTAATTATTACTTTGCTAACTTACCTGAGTTAACTTCAGCTGGGGAATTCGAAAGACCATAGTCGGGTCGCTTCATGTTTATACATGGTACTCTCGTTTTGCGCCTACTCTTGTTGTGATGTGTAGGTCTTTTAAATAAACTTACATCATTGAAATGTGTAATAAAGTCAATTATATAGATGAGGCCTTCCTAGTCAGATGAGGTTCTTGGGGGCCCGGGGCAGTTCATTCAGACATGTATGACTTTACTAGGAAATAGTTTCACTTCGTATAAAACTTTATCGTCAGTTAATGTTGAACTTTAAAAAATGGAGAAAGAGAGAGAGAGAGAGAGAGAGAGAGAGAGAGAGAGAGAGAGAGAGAGAGAGAGAGAGAGAGAGAGAGAGAGAGAGAGAGGGAGGGAGGGAGAAAGAGAAAGCGAGACTGCTCACCACTTCATGGCGGTATATACGTATGCGGAAGATTGGCGTTAATGTGAACGCAACTTTCGTAAATTGTTTGTCGCTGCCTCGGTGACCGCTAACGCAGTAACGGAACGGCTCTATGAAAATAATTTCTAATTGAAATTTCATAATGGCAGAGAGTAGAGGGAACAGTCGAGCAAGTGGGACACGACCATCATCAGCAGTAAGTAACATTGCGTGTTTTTTATAGTGTATTTTTGGTTCATGTTCCCAATCAACGATGTGGATCGTGGATAGAGGAGGAATAAAATAGTAGAGCAGTCCCACGCGTTACAATTCTTGCTGGGAATCAGTGCAATTGTGAAATTGTCATAGAAAAAAATGTATGCGGCAGGCCCAACGCATAATCAGGGGTAGGCCTATAGTTAGATGTAGGGTTTCAGACATTCACACAAGAAAGTGTTTACCTTGGGAGAATTAACATTTTCTGTTTCAGAAACTTCCACATGTCTAGCACTAAATGTTCACAAATGTGACAAAAACTTACTTGATTATTGATACGAGTTAAACGTGGACTGAATGAACCCTAACAAATCATTTTATAATGAGAATCCTAATTAAAATCGCCCAGAAACAATTGCAGCACGAATACGAGCGGCCGCTATCTCCTACTCCTAGCACCACCGTGCACCACTATGGGGGCTAGCCGCTGCATGCAGAGCGCTAGCGGAGAGCGAGAGTGCGCGAACAACACTCTCACTCCGTCTACAAGTTTGACTGTGCGAACGTGGTTAGCGGCTGGCTGTGAGAACGAGCGTATGCATAGTTTCGCTATTACAGGATTAATACAGATAATTGGTGTCGGTGTTAATGATGATAACGTGTTGGAGAAGTTGACTTATGTTTGTAATAATAAAGTATACAGTTAAACAATCCATCGTTTCATAACGTGTAATTAGTTGAGTCTCCATAGACTGATGTAATATTATCTCTCGAAATTGTCATAGAAAAAAATGTATGCGGCAGGCCCAACGCATAATCAGGGGTAGGCCTATAGGTCTAGTTAGATTTAGGGTTTCAGACATTCACACAAGAAAGTGTTTACCTTGGGATAACCTTGAACACCATGACTGCAGCAAAACCCTGAAGGCTGAATAAAAAGTGTGCGTTCATTCTCGGAGTCGAACTCAAAATCAAATCAAAGACAATGCAAATCACAGTCGGAGTCGAACTCAAAATCAAATCAAAGACAATGCAACGCGCACTCATGTACATTGCACACAATACAGGGGATGTACACCACTCAAAGACGAGCGATTTCCCCAGGCCATGCATACTCACGCAAATGACTATATCGGTGCACTGCACTACACACACAGTGTCAGTATACAAGAAAGATCCGATGTTACTTCCAAAAATCCACCCCAAAAGCCAAATTTTGCTGTCAAAAATGCGGAATCGGAGCCATATTTCTAAAGCTCACGGGGGTTTAGCCCAGTTTTAAGAAACAGCTTCACCGAAAAAGTGATAAAAATTAAGAAATCAGCGATTTGGTTACCATTTTTTTCGCTAATCACATGCCCTTCCAATGTGATGGTACATGTATCTTCAAAAAGCCAAATGACATTGACAAACAAACACTGGACCTGCTGATGCATTGACTTTATGTACAAAGTTTATTGCAACTCCAGACTTGAGATTCAACCGCAATTAAGCACCAAAGGGTGCCGCAACTTCGGCATAAAACTTCTGATAAAAAAAAATGATTTGTTAAATATATTTATATTTAACAAATCATTTCTTTTAATTTTTTTTTTTTAAGTGATAGGTCGGCTGCTCTCAATGATTGAATGCGTTTTCATTCAAAGAAACATGATTGCAATAGCATTTTATAGGGAAAAAAACAGAAACGTAAAACAGTCAAAATCTGTTTTTTCACCTAAAAATATGCTTTTTCAAGCTGAATAATATGTTTTTTGAAAGTAACAGGTTGGCAGCTCTGCATTGTCATTATAGATGGTTTTTCTTAAATATTTTTTTATAAAAATAATTTAATTCCCTCTTCCTAACATTTTATTTTTGACATTTAACGGCATGAAAATAGTTTTAAACATGAACAACAACTACAAATGACAGATTTATCCAAGGTATGAGTGATTTAATATTATTGAGTGCTCAAAATTTAAACTAGAAATTAAACTATATATGTATCAATAAAAGGTAATGGTTAACAAATAATTTAAAAGAATACATATTTTCATCAATTTTGGAAACGGCTCCTGGTCCTGGAAAACGGCTCCCGGTTCTCTAAAAAATTGAAGGACTGGGAGCCGCTTTTCAGATATTTGGCTCCTGGTCTACTTTGTCCTTAAAAACGCAGACGATTTTAGTGGATGTTCTGTCCGCTTTCCGCGTTTATGTGGATGATCCTTATTCTCGGACCAGCGCCGCTTCTGGTCTGGAGCAAGATTGCTGGTCTGCCTGTGCAGTGTCTCATAAAACCGTCATAAGTTCACTGACATCCCATTGAAATGCGTGTATTATTTGTTTAACACGCGTTTCAATTAAATGTCGGTGAACTTGTACTTTTGACGGTTTCGTGAGACGCTGCCTAGGTCGATCGACAGCAAAAACTATTTGATATAGGACTAGGGGATTCAAGAAAGTGACATTTGTTAATCTTCTGCATGCACAGACAGCACTCTCACCCGAACCGTGTAGGGCCTAGGGCGGAATGTGAAAATCATGAACTTGATACACTGTACATGTAGATGTAAGTTCACTTGAATACCTAAATTGTTTTTTTTTAGATCATTTTAGAAATACAAAGTGTAAGACTACTGCCAACGGAGTCTGATCAGACCAAAGATCAATCATATGTGCAACACTGTAGCAAAAGAGACCATGATTATAACTGCTATGTAGTAGGAAGTTTTCCGTTCCATACTCAACCCTGCATATGTCAACAAATTAAAGTGATGAAATTTTATGTATCACAGCACATCCTCACTGATATTTCAAACGTCAAGTGGATGTCCCCACTGCCAGGTTCTTTTTCTTGAATCGCCATTATTAGCGATCTGCTACTGTATGAGTTTCATTTCATTTCATTGCTGATGTCTAGCAAAAATATTCATGGGAGAGAGCGAGAGAGCAAGAATGAAGGACAGGAGTGTCGTGGGAATGTTGACAAATGTCAGTTTTATTAAAGAATGACCCATACCAGACAGTTATTTCTGTCTAATGTACTCATATCTTTTCTTAAATCCCCATTTCTCATTCTGTCTTCTTTGATCACATCTTAGAGTTAGATAGCTTGTTGATATCATGCTTCTGCTACCTGACTCAAAGAATGTAATTTGATTTTGGTATGATACACAATTCCTATAGAATTCAGCCTGAGAATTCAACCCATCATCAATAATTTATTTAGTGAAGCCTGTATTATATGAAGTTCGCTTAAGGGAGACAAGAAAATTTGTCTTTATATGCAGGTGCTCTGGAGGAACAGGTATCTTTTGTAAATCTGTCAATGAAAAACACTACTCGAGGGTCTTTATAGATGGGTGGTCTGTCTAGATACAGGTGAGCCCAAAAGCAGGTTTCACAAATCGTCTACCGGTAGTCCTTCCCATAGCCAAGGCCTTTACATAAATGTATCGTCTCATAAGCTTGCATGTGCCTGTCCATCCAGGGGAGCAATATTTAGTTTCATTCTCCAATTCTTTATAAACGTCTTTTTTTTCTTTCTCCTTTGAACAGAGGAGTAGACCATCTACTGGAGGTGCAGTTGGAGGTCGAAGGTTAGCAGCTGGAACCAAAGCTGGTGGTACAGGATCCAGACCATCATCCAGTGCAGGTGTGAACAAGGATCTTGTCAGCCGTGAAGAAGAGTATATGTAAGTCTATGAAATCCACAATGAAAATGTTGAAAAGCAATAAGCATTAGGCCATTTTTGTAATGTAACCAAATTCATGCATATATTATGATTTATTTCATTCACCTGTTCAAAATAAATGTATCTTGATAGTCAGAATTCAAATTGCATACATTTGTTGTTGCTAGGTAGGACAAACATTATGGCTTGCCCTACCTTACAACATGTAATATATATGCAATTTGCTTTCTGACTTCTGAAATGCAAGTATCTGTGACAGGAGAATGAAATCATTCCTATCAAGGCACTAAAGTATAAATTAGTTTACAAATATAAATTAGGTTTTAATCATACATCATAGACCCTATGTTTAGCTGAAGAATTGGAGTATAAAAAGCCTTTTTAGCAAGTGTATTTAAATCATGCACAAGTGATGTTACTAGGCGAGTGATCAATGAGTGTTTGGCAAGATATGTAGACCACCTCATACATGTTCATGTTGTATGTCTTGGTTTTGTGTGAGTGGGGATACTTGAACTTCTGTGCCTTTCTGTTATATTTCCGTATCTATTACCCTTTTATTTATTACATTTTTGACATAGCAAGTATGATAAAAAGCTCTTTCATGACAACCATTACATGTATTAACTTTTGACCGATGTGCCAGTCACGACTGTGTTGCCATAATCTTATTTAACCAATCATGTGCATCTTTTCATGTATGCAGGCGTCTGAATGCTGCCCTCGAAGCCAAGACCGCATCACTCATACAGGAGGCTGAGACGGTCATGGTAAGGAAGTGAGATGGGAAGTCTGACTAATTCCTCAACTCCTTTTTAAAAGATTAACAAAAAAAACAAAAAAAATTCTTGACTCCTTGATCATGGTATAAATTGTCTTCAGGAAAACATTAGTCTCATGTATGGGTTTGATTACCTTCACTGGTGTTTGTTTTGAACTATCCTGAGGTAAAGCTAATTATTTCAGCTCATTTCAAGTTTGGGATGGGAAGTCTGACTAATTCCTTGATTCCTTGAATATGGTTTATAATGTCTTCAGGAAAACATTGTAGTGTCTTCAGGAAAGCCTTGTAGTGGCCTCAGGAAAACATTGGTCTCATTTTGGGGTTTGGTTACCTTCACTGGTGGTTGTTTTAAACCATTCTGTGATATATACATGTAGGTAGTGATTTCAGCTCATTTAATGTCAACACTTTGAAGGGTTGTTAATCTGTTGGAACTACCTTTCTGAACATATGACAAGTTCATGCATGCACTAGCAGTGTTCATAATGAAGAAGGCGCAAAGTTTTGTATAAAGAAAGAAAAGTAGGGAAGGATTAGGAAGAAGAAAACAAAATTTGGCGGTGTCAAGTAATGCTTTTAATGTTTTCATTCTTTGCTGACTTGGGTTCTTTGTAATATGAACAATAATGATGATAATGATAATAATAGTGGGTTCTCGTTTAAGCACTTACTGTAGTTTGGCACATAGCCACTCATGGCACTCCAATATTATTATTACTTTGGCTTTAGCACCTCTTCCGTTACAGCGCTCAAGCTTTTTAAGGAATTATTTTCTACCCGGTAACCATTTACCTCTCATGGGTTGAATATGGTAAATTTATATACCTAAGTGCTGTGCCAGGGATTTGAACCCTGTACCTTATGGTTCACAGTCTAGAAAATTATCCACCAGAATATTAAATGTGAAAGTATTGTTAAATCTAATTTACTCATTTCATAATGCTATTCTATATGAACAGAGAGAGCAAGAGGACATCTTGACCCGTTCTTTCAATGGGCTTGATCTGAGTGGCGAGGAGGAACGGCAAGCCATATTTAATACGGAACCAGTCGTCTCTGATGACATATCAAAGGTAATTATTGCAAATAAAGGTTTTTCTGTTATTAATGAGTTTAATGAGGTTATAAGTAAATATCCCATTTGAAACTTCTTCATTTCAGACATGAGAGTAAAAGTACACATTACTTGGTACATTTTATTATAAGACATAATGTATCACTTTATTTTGATGATAAGGCCTAAAAAAAAAGATGTATTGCCCTTTGCGACCGACTCAAAAATCTTGACATCTACGGTTGGCTTTTTGAAAAAGTTTTTTTAAAGAAAATAAACTAAGAAATATCAGCCCAAGGAGGGAGGGAAATTTTTTTTTAAAAATATGAAAGATTTTAGACCAACCAACCCTTGTTTTGGCACCTAAAGGGCAATACAGCATCTTTTTTTAGGCCTAATGTAGAAAAATGTATTTAATTCTGTGTTAAATTAATGAGTTAATACACTTCTAGCTCTCAGCAGACAATAGCAACTTTGCATTTTACCGAGATAAATAGGAAAACACACAATGTATCGTATTTGCCGGCGATAAGGCCGCAGCGCCGTATAGGCCGCACCCCCGATTTTGACATTTAAAAAAAAAAAAAAAATCTTTTGCCAAAATCGGGACTCGATCTCTTGCGTACAAATGTTGATGTGACTAAAATCACCGCCTTAAACCGCTCGGCCATCACGCACTGATACCATACACGGCAGTTTTCTGTGATGTAGTCATTGAAATGGATTGAAAATGGGGACTTCGCGTGCTGGATGCTTCGCGGTAGCTCCGTTAAACGGGCCTTTCTTTTACTTTTGCAATGCATTGGCACGAACTTAGATCAAAATCTATGGGCAGATGTTGTTTTTGGAAGTTTATTTTCGTCTTCATGTCAACAATGCAAGATAAAATTGTCGGTAAGATGTGTGGAAATGTATAGTTATTGTACCGTTCGTAGATCAAGTCCCATATGTACAAATTTCGCCGTAAAGGCAGCACCCCGACTTTTTTATATTTTCTCTTCCAAAAATACTGCGGCCTTTACGCTGGCAAATACGGTAAGCACTTTTATATCTATAACAGAATTATGCAACTATCGATGACACAATTCTCTATATCTTTGTACATGTATTTTAAAGCTTATTTGATAATCGTGCTTGTAGCTGTAAATATCATATAGAATGGTGAAAAAGATTATAAAAAGAAAGTAGAAAGGATTTTTGTTAAAATTAAAAACAATTTTTAAAGGAAGATAATAAAAAGTATGTAATGACATGTACAATGCAGCAATGGCTCAGATTGATAATCTTTTTTTAAAACTTTGCTTCCCAAGCCTTCCCTAATTCAATCCACAAACCTCGCATCAGTGAAGAAACCTCCCTCTAGAGGCAGACCTGGGTCAGCCGCAGGTGCGGGCAGACCCTCATCGAGGACTAAGTCAAGGTATGAAAGCAATTTCACGTTTGATTTGATCTTCTAAATCAAGAGTTTGTTCACTGGCCCGCAGGAAGGAATTAGTGTTTCCAATCTTAACAAAACAGAGGAATTACATAGGTGCAGTTTTTTAAAAGGGAACATAGAAAATACAATTAATATCGTAGCTTAGGGTTAGCTACCATGGCAGAATTTTTTTTTTAATGGCAGTTTTACCAAACCTTAAAAAATGTAATTATCATAATAACAATGATAAGTTCTTGTATAGCACTCATGTTAGTATGAAATGACACTCCGGGCGCTCCACAATTATTATCCGGGCTTTAGCATTGCTGCCATTGTGGTGCTCTTGCATTTTAAGGAATTATTTCTTGCCAGGTACCATTTTACCTCACCATGCAGGTCAAGCATGGCAAATGTAAATTCATGTCTTGCCAGAGAACACTTTGTGGTGCTGTGGCAGGAATTTGAAACCTGTACCCTATGGTTCACAGTCCAGTGACTTATCCACTAGACCACAACACCTCTATAGAATATGCATTGCACTGGTAGTAGGTGCCCTTCACTGAGTTCAATCAACTGATGCAATAGGAAACCTATCATGTAGACCACAAAGTCACATTTAGCCGCAAATGAACTTTTGGTAATTCCAAGTCTAGAGGGAGCCATTCCCTTTCTTGTAAAAAGAAGGATTAGATTTAGTTGATACTATGCTGGCATGTGAAAACCCTTTTGCATATCGGTACTATATTTCCTTGTACCCCTGTATGCTTTTCTTGGTTGGTTCCTCTTGTTGTTTACTTCATCCTGTCCTTCAGTCTGTTTTTATATTTTTCTATTCACTTTCTTTTTGTTGTTGTTATCTTCCAAATAATGGTATATTTTTCCATTCTTTTCTCTTTTTTTTTTTTTTTGCACCTCATTTACCAGGACTTTTGGTTGTTGAGCAAATTTTTCATCCCTATTTTACTTGTTTGTTCATTGAAAAAGTGTGGACAATAACAATGAATAAATTATGCTTGAGTTGTTAAATCCTACTAGTTTTCTTATAACAGGGATACAGAACATCCATGAAAGGGCAAGTTAAGCTATTTTGTCCCATATGTTATCAACCACATCCAAGATTTCAGTGTGTCTGATGACTATCAAGCTGATAGCCCTACTAGAGCTTGAAGCACACAAAGCATCAAATGAAAATTTGTGTTGACATTTCCAGGACACAATTCAATTATACTTGATAAAGTTGATAATGTATAGTACATATCTTGGACTTGTCTGTAAATAAACATAGATTAGCATTGATCAGTGTCTTTTTCACATAGCCCTCAAACTAACCACCACTAATTGGAAGAAAAAATTAACCTCCATGCTATATTTTAAAACTTTTCCAACATAATATACATGTTTTTTTGTAAAGTGCTTAGAGCCTTCATAGATTATTACCTTACTAGCAGGACCCGCGGAAATCCGCGGGATCCTAGACGGGGGCGGTGGGTGTAAATAGATATATAGAGACTGTCTAAATTAAAACCACCAAGAACTTTATTTGCCATTCAGGCCATTAAGAAATATACATGTTAAGCGTCCCCGCCCGCTTCCTTTTTGGGGGCCGCCTCCTATTTTTTTTTTTGAATTTTTTTTTAAAGTTTTTTTTTTTTTTTTTTTTTTTTTTTTTTTAGAAAGAAAAAAAAACAGCGTCCCCGCCTGCTTCCTTTTTGGGGGCCGCCTCCTATTTTTTGTTTTTTTTTTTAAATTTATTTATTTATTTTTTATTGAAAGAAAAAAAACATGAAAAGCACTGCTAAAATGTATTTCTGATTTTAAAAAAGAAAAAAAAAAATGGTCGGCCGCCATCTTGAAAAATAGCCTGAATGTCAGGAAAAATGTACGGAGCGGCCATTTTGAAAGAAAATAAAAAGAAAAAAAAAGGGCCTCCTCCTTCCCATTTTTCGAAAAAACAGGAAGCTAAACATGTATTTTTTTTAATTTGGCCTTATATAAAAATTAAAAAAACGATCCAACTGTACCGGTAGTTATTCTTTAAGCCACTGGAACTGCGTAGAGTTCCGTAGTGTGGCGTACCGACTACGCAGAAATTAGGCTGCGTATTAATGGGGAAAATAGTCCCTGCGTAGGTTATGCGTAGGCTGGCGTATAGGTTTGCTTATGGTTGCTTACTGTGTGGAAAGCTTTTACTGCTTTGTCGATCTGGCGAAGGGTAGCGTACTGTTGCGTAGGCATGTAGCGTAGTGTTGCGTAAAAAGGCGTACTTTCTGCGTCAAGTTTCTACGCTGAAAGTACGCGAAAAAAATTTAACATGTAGAATTGTTTTCGTTCATCTTGCGTACCCCTTTCCATCCCTCAGCATATATAGTAACGTAGGCCAGCGTAGTTGGTACGCAACACTACGCAACTCTACGTATTGACCCCACGCCAATTCCCCGCAAGTGTCACAAATCAAGTATTAAAAATATGCTCATCTGACCCTAATTAAACGCCTAAAACCCCCGAGCTTTCGGGGGTTTATGGCCCCTTGAAACCCGTGGACCCCACGCCTATACACTCAACTCGCTGCGATCTGATCTCTCCCCCCCCCCCCCCCCCCCACCAACTTTGAAGAACGTAACCCCTGAGCTTTTTGGGGTTATGGCCCCTTGAAACCCGGGGACCCCACGCCTATATTATATATACACTCAACTCAGGACCCGCGGAAATCCAAGGGATTCTAGAGGGGGGCGCAGGCAAAAAATTAAGTTTTTCATTTCGGGGACTCCATTTCAAATTTTTGGGAAATTTTCGGGGGCTACTTTTTCAACTTTCAGGGGCTCTTTTTTCTGGGGCTACTTTTTCATTAATTCATAAAAGGATAGGCCTACACTTTGTTGAGATTTGTTTAGTAGGCTAAGGTTTCAGGCTTCCTACTTCATAATTGCCTTTGTAAAAAAAAAATCATTTTTCTAGTTCAATAACTAAGTTTTCATGCATTTATTTGATGCAAGAACTGTAACATAATAGACCCTAGATTGTGATTATTACTGACCATGAATTTCGATAATCATTTTTCAAAGTAAAATTTTCACAAGAAAATCAGACAGTCGTTTAAAAACGTAGACATTAGTAATACTTTTACTAATTCTAAGCTAAGGTTTCATAAATCTATTCACGAAACTATATTGAAATCGCGGCAATAATGATGCAAACCAACAGATAACAATTTCAAAGTGTCAAATCTCTTCGACTCGAGCTCAGCTCAACTTAACTCACACACACTACAGCGTAACTCCATAGCTCGAACACCGGCGCCGCAGGCGTCGGACGCCTGCGGTGCTCGGTGCCGGTGTTGGAGCTTCCTGCAAGCTCGTCTCAACTCACACACACTGAACAGAAGCCCTGCACTGTATGAAGGCAGCTTGCGACTAAACTGTCAGTCCAATGGTTTTCTTGTGAAAACTTTCCTTTAGAAAATGATAATCAAAATGTAGTATACATTAAAGGTAAAGACCAGTATTGGCAACACCCCAATTTCAAAAAATGAAATGGAAGCTCTCATTACCAATCATGTGAAAGAATATGTTTTGACTAATACATGATGATAAAAAATTTGCCGGGAAACCGCCTACTAATTCATATATTTGGTAAATTTATTTCTCTCATGGTCTGGTGAGAGAGATAGGGTAGTCCCATATACATCTTTCTGTGTATAGTGCTTGTAACTTTACGAAGAATGAGCCAAATTTCTTATCATTTTGATGATTCCAGAACCTTGCAGATGCTAGATGCTAGATGATCGACCTTTTCTGATCGATTCCACAACGTTTCTTTCACAATGCAATCGCATGACCATTACTGGTCTTTACCTTTAACCGTCATAATCACAAAATAAGCTTTGATTTCATACCTCCATTCACGAAAACTATATAAAAATCGCGGCAATAATGATGGAAATAGGTCTCTAAGTTTGGACGTGGACGGGAAGCTTCGTGTGTACCTCTGTTGCTTGTGCAGCTACTACAAAGGATATCCTATAGAAAGATGCTTTACTCGGGTAATCCCGACCCTGTGCATGGTGCATTTAATACGCAACTTAATGTGAGTGGATAGTCATCGGTCGTGTGTCTACGGATGCAATGTTGAATATCCATGAGGTATCTCTGTCGTCACGCATATCCTGCATTATGCATGTCGCGTCTGTTTTCGCCCTGGACGTCGACACGGAGGAGGACCTCGGGCGGAGTATAGCCAATTCGCTAGAGTAGACTCTCCCGCGGACGATGGCACCGGGCACGGGTACCCCGAGGGCAGGGTTCAGGAGGAGATAGCCGCACCAACTTCGGTCGGCGATCTCATTAAAAAACAATAGAATACAAAGGCCGGCGGAGACGTCGCGCCCCCCGCGGAGCCTTAGCGTATTACTTATATAGATACCTGCCACAACACTAACGTTCTTTGGCAAGACGTTAATCTACATTTGCCACACTCCACCCAGGTGAGGTTAATGGATACCTTGTAGGATTGTTCCTTGAAATGAACTCTGAAATAACAGCTGCCGGAGGTAAAGCTAGAGTATTCATTTCCAAAGCTCTTTGGAAGCAACGTTACATCATGTATGTGTAATATGTACATTATGTATGTATGTATGTATGTGTTATGTATACAAGAAGAGATTATTATTATTATTATAAATCCTGAATATTCTTCTTCTTTTTATTTGTTTATTTTCAGGACCAAATCTCAGACTTCGATGTCCTCTAACTTAGCTGATGACGTTGCTATTCCTGATGCTGTCCAAGCAGATTACTCCTTAGCGGACACATTCTCAGCGTTTGATAAACAGTATGCTGAAGGGAACCCTCCAGCTGATGGAGATTATGATGATGTCTTACCTCAGGCTGCAGAGGGCATGGGATCAGGTACTCTATTGTTAATACAGTATAAACCAGAAAGAATGCTGCGTTCCAGGAAAAGTCTTCATTTATGTCCCACAAACTATGTCAAAATATTACGGGGAAAGGTCATTTTCATATTGCAGCCACTGCTTTATGGAAGAACTTGCTGGAATTCCTTAGAAATATAGAAACATATGAAAAGTTCAGAATCAATTTGAAAACATACATATTTAGCACTTTGTATAATCTCACAGGTAAGAAACCATTTTGCCATTTCCACTCCTTCTGTATTCTGTTGTGTAAAGCGCATAAAGACATGAAATTTTGCCTATGTATTATGTGCTATACAAAACCATTTAATCATTATTATTATATATGGTTGATATAAATGCTTTTCTTCTCTTGTCTCTTTTTCTTTCTCTCTCTGACTCGCTGACTGTCTGTTTCTCTTTCTCTCACATTCATTCTCATTTTCTTTATTTTCCGTCTTTCTCTATCAAATGCTGTATTTCTATAGTACTCTGTTTCTCATTGCTCTTCTCTCACCCTCTTTCAATTCTGTTTTTTTCTTTGTGTCTTTTGATATAGAAATAGCTATGCTTTTATCCTAAAATTCTTAGGAAAGTGATTTTGTGGATGGTGCTATAAGATAAATTTCCTACACACAATATAAGTGGAACCATGTGCTTTAAATGTAATGACTGAATCAAGTTTGATTTAGGATGTCTCAATTATTGTGAATGCAATTATTTTTCTGTTCCCTGTCAGTCATGTTGTCTCAATGTATAATTGAAGTGTAAAAAAATGTGATAGCAACTACTTTAGAAAAATCAACCTAAGACAATTTCCTTAGCCCTTTACATCACCTATTGAAATGTGCAAATATGACAATTATGTATTACGTAATCCGAACATGATTTCTATTGGACCTACAATAAGGTATTGAAATGGCCCTTTATTTGATTTTTTAAAAATAGTTGCGATCAAGTTACTATCAATGTATCTTACTAGTGTGAAAACAACCACAACTTCTACGATAAAAGTCTTCAATAAACATTTTATAAATCTGTATGAAATGCCTTGTAACTTTATCTTTCTTGTCATGTTTCAGAGGCTACCATTCGTTTCCTGAAGGCCAAGCTCAGGGTCATGCAAGAAGAACTGGACAGATTAGCTCATGAATGTAATCAAAAGGTATTATTGAGAGCAGATCTTTAGTACAATTGAAATGCTTTCTCTTGGAATCTTTCACTTTTGATAAATTTATATATATATATGTTATATCAATGTGACGTTCTATATCATCGCAATGTCAAAGTATCTTTCTGAGTTATCATGGAAGATCTGTAAAATTGTGAAAGCCTCATTTGCTCTCATGTGTCACACACTGTTTGTGTACCATAATGTTTGAAACATTCTATTATGACTATTACATGTAAGTCAATTTTTATTAAGCTACCGGTACAATGAAACGTCAGTGGAGAGATTTTAATCCTTCCTGTACTGAAAAAACTAAACCCTATAGATTTTCTGTATCAATGATATTGGCATTCTCTCTCATCTCATACTTAATGAAAAAAATCCTTTTTGCTGGTGAGAGATGGCTCTATAGCTCATTTGATAGATATGAGGTTGTCCAAAGAACTAAGCTATGGAACATAGATAGAGAGATAGATGCTGCCATACAAGTGTTTATATTATTGTTGTAAAGACACTTTTAGCTTGCACCCATTAGATAAAGATCACATACTCCATCTTAGAAATTTAAAAACAAGTCAGAAATTTTTTTGAACAGGATTTGGACTTGTCATCTACTGCTTGCAGGGCAGCGACTTAAACACCAGGCCAAACACCATGGCACAGTCAAGATGGACTCGAACCAAATACCTCAGCTCTCCTCACCTCATTCTGACTTATGAATATTCATCAGTCCACCATTAGGACAAAAGCTTTGAATGTCTTATGGGAATAAGTTTCAATTGTTGTAAAGACATGTTTATATTACTATCATTAGCCGGTGATATGACATTTACAGTATCTGCTTCAAAATACTGGAATGATCTACCACTTAGAATTAGGCAGTTTCCATTCGTTATTACCTTCACAAAGGCCTTAGAAACACATTTTTTTTTGCAGTTTGTAGTTGTTTTTCTTATTATATGTATTTATGTAATTTTTATTTTCATTCACTGTAAGCGCTTTGGGCCTTTTGGGAAAAGCGCGGTATAAGTAATAATAATAATAATAAATGTTCTATTTGATGACAGGATGAATCATTGGGCAAGCTTGAGGTACGGGTGAAGGAAGCAGAAGAGGAGAGATCCAGGCTACAGAGAACCAATTCATCTCATCAAACCCAGATCGATAAATACAAGAGATTGGCAGAGGACACAAAGAGGAAGAGTGATGGGTTGGAGAATCAGCTCACTGGACTCAGGAAGGTAAGATGCCAGGGATAGGACACCGTGACATTGGCCCAAAGTGTAATTACCTCAAAGATATAAAGTTAGGTGGTATTCTCGAAAGGTCCATGGTTTAATCTTCTGACTAAGTATGGAATGCCAAGTGTCCATATGAATAATGTGATATGTTCCTAAATTACCATGATAACATAATTTTTTCATAGTTATATTGTTGGTTATTAATTATGTTATTACATTTTATTTTAATTTAGTGACAGATTAAATTATTCAAAAGCATATTCATATGGACACTTGTTATTCCATACTTAGTTGGAGGATTAAACCATGGACTAAAGTTAGTCCGCTTTCAAGAATACCATCGTTAGGGTTTAGGTAAGGTTTGGAGTTCAGGTGAAGGTTGGGTATAGTCTTTGGTCCATGGTTGAAGGAAGGGATTTGGTCAGTGTAGGTTATTTCAATTGTTGCAGGACCATGTGCTGTACAACTGAGATGCCTTGTTTTTTAATGGTGTGGTCAACAGAGGTAGTTTTTTTTTCTTTTCTTTTTTTCTTACTCTACTCTTCTCCCCTCTCAGAAGTCTCTCTTTGTCTTCCATATTGTCTCTTTCCATTTCTCTCTTTCAGGTACTCTCTTTCTCCTTCTTTGAGCAGCTCATCTTATAAATAATTAAAACCAATGAACCTGTAGAGTATAGACTCTTGTAAAGGCCTGTTATATTGTTGCTTTAAGAGAAGCCACAAGAACTTTTCCTTGTAGTGTACTAAAATCATCTGCTTCTCACTGTTTTACAATTGAAAGATATTTCTGTAAACGTTATCATTCTTGGGTTTATTTTGAGCAGGAGTTAGATGAACACAAGAGAAACCAGAAGAAATCTGCTACAAGTCAGAGTGCCACTGAAGTCAGATTGAATCGAGCAATGGAGGAGGTTGAGAAATACAAGTCAGATTTACAACGGATGAAGACATCTTCACGGGTAAGCAAATCTTTTCTGGAATAAATATGCTGTGTGTTTGGTACTTCAAAATCAAAGAATAGCAACAAATACAGACATACTCAAGATTTAGTATGTCTGTATTCATTGCTACACTGTAGGTCTATGTATCAATTTTTTTTAAAGCCATGATTAAAGATTTGAAGGTTTTATATTCCTTGTGCAGACTGTTGAAACATCAATTAATCATAAATAGATAGACTCTTAACATTGATGTTACCCTAAGTTATATCTGACATTTTCTTACAAAAATATGCATTTCTAGATTATAGCTGGCATGCCTTGATATTCAAAAAGTATATGATGACTTTATATCCCCTGTGCAAAATATTAAAACATATAATTGAGTATAGATAAACTCATAATAGTAATGTATGATATCTTTAGGTGCTGTAACATGCTATCAATATTAAAAACTAACTTTGTATAGTGTGGTTGATGTATCATTATCACAGATGATTATGTTATTGCTCTTGATATATCAAATGAAAAAGAAATGTCTTATTTTTGTGTGGCATGACAGGAATCATCTGAGGGGGAGAGGAGAAGAGTGGAGCAGCTGGTTGCAGAAAACAAGCGTTTAGAGAAACAGAAGAATGAACTCATGTCAGGTTTCAAGAAGCAGCTTAAACTCATTGATGTACTGAAGAGACAGAAGGTCAGTTCTTCTTTTGTTGTCACTGAAGTCATTGATCATTGTGTAATGAAATTGTTTAGTATTTACCATTGTCTATTCTCTTCCTTGATTCTTGCATGGCTAGTGAATAAGGGACAGGTACATACTAGCTTAGGTTAATAGGGACTTTTAGATTTGCACAACGACAACGTGGATTGCTACGATCGACGTCCTTTTAATGCACTGCCTTGAATGGACGTCACACGTATCAGTCCATGTAAATCTAAAAGTCCCTAATGTAATGTCATGAAAGACACGTCCAGAACACAAAAGGTGTAATAGATCCATGTAATAGATCAATGATGTTGGTGAATTCAAAGTTCTTATTGATATATCCGAACGAAAGTTTAGTAAATATTAAGCATGATCAAGATAGTACATGTATTTGCCAGCTTCATATCCTAATGATTAGGTTCTTCCTCTGTTCGATAAGATTAGGATTTTCAACAAATATGCATTTTGCGTTCCGGATATGTCTTTTTCTGACACTTCATTTTGCTAAAGTACCTAGGAAGTAGCAAAGAGAAGGACAGTTGATCCAGTTTAACCATCGGTCTGAAAAGAGTTATGGTACCTCCTATGTCAATAGTGTGAAAGGAACCTTTAACAGACAATTCTTATCGTCGCTGTTTTCACGAAGTGACGGTAGTGAAAAAAAATTGCATTCACTTTGCGTTACGATTTTCCTCACTACCATCACTTCGTGAAAACAAGGACGTTATGGCAGATGAAGAACTGCTAGTTTTTGAAAGTGCAAAATTATTTAAGTGGAACTAATGTCCTTTGGCAAAATTTTAATTTACATTTGCCACTCTCCACCCATGTGAAGTGAAGGGGTAGCTGGTTGCAAGAAATTCCTTGAATGGTGACTCGAGTCAGCTAAAGCATGGTTCACAATATGATACTTTGTAATAAGCGCAGTAGAATATATTCAAACAGTAGCTGCACTATGTAAATGGACCTATTTTTATTATTTATTATGACTATTTTTCCTATACACTCAATAAACATGTAACCATTGTTGATTCCTTCAAATGTGGACTGCACACACAGCTCACTTCAATACCTCAGATACCATGATATTTCATTCATTTCCATTTAATTTGCTTTGCTTTGTTTTGAAATTTGAAAGGGGTAGGGAATAATCTATTACACAAAAATTAATTTTTCTTCCCTATCTTCCCTATCTTTCAGATGCATATTGAAGCTGCCAAAATGCTTGCATTCACAGAAGATGAGTTTGTGAAAGCCTTAGAGTGGGGTAACTGATGAGGAATGGGGTTGAGCTACATCCTATGAAGCAGAGATGATAATTTATGGAAGTAAAGCTGATATATAGCTTCCGCTTTTGCAGTTAATGCTATGCTGGAAATGTAATGAAACAGAGAGGTTTTTGACTGCTGAGAAATAAGTACACCATCTTAAAAGAAAGATTCTCAATTAGCTATTCTTTTATGTCATGAACATCCAAGGAATGTTTTAAGAGTTAATGGTTTGCCTTCGCAAAGTAAATAGTTTGTTCTCATGTTGTCATCCAGAGCTGCTCTTACAGGTATACCTTTCTTCTCTGAAATAGGCATCAATTGTAAGCCATAGCTGCTAAACATTCCTATTTTGGAGGGATTATTCCTATTTTTAGCCTTCAAGCTAATATTTTAAACCCTACATTCCTCTCTTTTCCAGAAATATTCTGTGTGAAAAGTATACAAAGTACTGTTGAAAAGACATGGCAGTAATGCAAAGATCATCATTGTGTATTTGTTTGTGTTTGTCAGTAGATTGTATGTAGAGCTATACATTAACTTCTATATCTGACTGTTAGCATAGCACATATGATGCCGATAAGAGCGGGTTTTATAGTGTGTGAAAACGACTTTATATTATGTGTGGTAAGTGATCTTATCTCATTTCCCAGAAACATTTGTTATCTGGGAAGTACTAAAGCCCAGCAGAGCTGGCCTGGGATGTTACCCATTATTCATGTACATTGAGTGAAATGAAACCATTTTCCCAAAAGATTCAAGGTGATGTTGTGATTTCCTTTCATTTTGATAATCAAATTAGTTTTCCAAAATATTTTTAACTTAGAATTATTGAGGTGATCTGAGTGATCTGAGATATTAGTGAAAACACATTTGTAAAACATTATGTTTCAATGTGCATCAGAAAGAATATAAAAGTTAAGGAAGAAACATTAAAATCTAAACTGTCATTAGATTCAGACTGTTAGCATACCATTTGATGAAGATAAGAGCAGATTATATAACATGTGGAAATGACTTTATATTATGTGTGCTTACAGGGATCTTATGTCATTTCCCAGAAACATTTGTTATCTGATTATGTTCTGTTAACCTGTGAAAAAACTAATGCCAGAGCTGGCCTGGGATGCAGCCATTATTCATGTACACTGAATGAAATGAAACCATTTCCCAAAAGATTCAAGGTAATGTTGTTGATTCGAACAGCCCTGTCATTTCCTTTCATTTTGATGATCAAATTAGTTTTCCAAAATATTTTTAACTTAGAATTGTTTAGGTGATCTGAGTGATCTGAGATGTGAAAACACATTTGTAAAACATTATGTTTTAATGTGCATCAGAAAGAATATAAAAGTTAAGGAAGAAACATTAAATCTAAACTGTCATTAGATTCAGACTGTTAGCATACCATTTGACGAAGATAAGAGCAGATTATATAACATGTGGAAATTACATTATATTATGTGTGCTTACAGGGATCTTATGTCATTTCCCAGAAACATTTGTTATCTGATTATGTTCTGTTAACCTGTGAAAAAACTAATGCCAGAGCTGGCCTGGGATGCAGCCATTATTCATGTACACTGAATGAAATGAAACCATTTCCCAAAAGATTCAAGGTAATGTTGTTGATTCGAACAGACCTGCCATTCCCTTTCATTTTGATAATCAAATTAGTTTTCTAAAAAGTTTTTAAACTTAGAATTAATAAAGCGATATCCAAGTGATCTGAAATATAAGTGAAAATTCTTGTACTACCTGTTCTCTTCAATTAATTGACATATTCTGATTATAAAAGCATTACATGAATTTCATTAGTTTGCAGTGGTATTTGGTAAATATTTTTCAAATACTGGTTTCCTAGCGAAATATATAATTGTAAGAAGTATTTCAAAAATTGCTACACTGGTTATCGCCAGGCATTGTTTTATCTAATATTAATTGTTTTGGTTTCTTAATTTTAAAATTAGTGGCCTCTAGTGGGCATGTTTTATCTGATTGTCAAACGTTCAAACCACCGCCAGATAAGGTACCGTTCTGAGGTGACCTTTGGTCATCGCGTTAGGACGATACAGGTTTATCTGATAAAATCTCTTTCAGGAGCTAATTGCCTGTCCAGACTATAAGAGTTCTCTTTGAATCTTGTATAAAGAGACATCATATAAAGACTCATTGTATAGTGAAAGGGGAGTACAGCTTGTATAAAGAAACATAGTAAAAACAGGTTTTGAAGGGGTCAAATGACATGACAGCTAGCCAATCATCAATGTCTGCCCACAATAAGCCCCGCCCAGTTAAATGATTTTTGTATGATTTGGTGTTCAGACTAGAAAAGTGACCCTGATTCTTTATCAAGTCTTCATTTTGAAACGATGATCAAAAATGCGTTTTTGCTTCACAAAGTTATGTTAGATGACATTCAGACTAGAAAAAGTACCTTGCTTACTGTATAGCTATACAAATCTTGTATAGCGATGAATTCTGGTAGTCTGAATGAGGGTTAGAGAGCTTGGATGATGAGAAGAACCCTGGAGCATGTTTTGTTTGCTTCCTTAAAATTAGTTCAGATAAATTGGTTCAGACAAAATCAACTGAACTTTATCAGTGCGCAAATAGTATGCTTCATCTGTTACCTTAGATGTAGATTTGTACACCATGGTATGTTTAGAAGACTGTTGCTTTGTAGCAAGGTGGTAACTGACATTTGTACCGACAAAGTAGTCAATAAAACTTTGTTTTATTCATCAGCACTATGAATAGTCCTTGCAATATATGCATTGAGTTGAGTTGAGTTGAGTTGAGTTTATTGGTTTCACAATTCACATATTATTCACAAATATAATACAGGTAACAAAATATACATAAAAGACATATTGTTTCATAATTTAAAAAAAAAAAATGATTATAATAATTAACAAGGTAATCAGACTACAAAGTTACATGTCATCACAATTGTTTGACAACTAATATCATTTAAAGGAAACCCAGACAAAAGTACAAACTGTGAAATGTGCAGGAACCTATAGAAAAGCAGAGCTTGTAAAGAATACACTGTAGGTTCCTGCATGGGAGACTTAAAAAATGACAGGGACAGAAAATGTTTACAGTAGAGAGAAGTACACAATTAAAATTGGGACGGCAGTAATTTGACAAATAATTGGTTGGAGTTCAATAAAGTACATACAAAAAAAAGGGGGAAAAAAGAAAAAGAAATTCACTAAAACGAACAGAAGTAACGAGCCAATAAATAGCAGAGTATGCACCTATTTCCACCACATTGCAGGGACCACTCTTATGTACTGAATATACTCAAATGAATATTAGAATCTGGCAGATTTTGTTTTTATTTAATTGCAAGAAATAAAAAGTGTTGACCTCTTTAAGAGTAAATTGACCTGATACACCCTTAAGTAGGGTATAGTCAATTGCACTGGGAGATATTAAGATTCATGTTAATAACTGACCCGCATCTAAGCCTCATATGTTAATTTAGTGTGTCTCTTAGCTTCCAACAAAGTTTGTGCAGATTTTGTATTTCTTCAATTGCAAGAAATAAAAACATGCCCCCCCCCCCCCCTTAGAAATATTTGAACTGGAACAACCTTGAGTATTGTACAGCTAATTGAGTTTGATATGTTTAGGTTTATGTTAATAAATTGACCCGCATCTTAACCTCATTGTCAATGTATAGTGTCATTCAATATGCTTCAGCACAAAAAACATAAAGCCTCCAACAATTTCCTTGCAGATTTTGTACTTATTTAATTGCAAGAAATAAAAACATGCCCCCTTTAGAGTCATATGAACTGGAACAGCCTTGAGTATTGTACCGTTAATTGCGTTCGATATGTTTAGGTTTATGTTAATAAATTGACCCACCATCTCGACCTCATTGTTAATGTAGAGTGTCATTCAATATGCTTCAACACAAAAACATAAAGTCTCTAACAATTTTCTTGCAGATTTTGTATTTATTTAATTGCAAGAATTATAAAAATTACCCCTTTAGAGTTATATGATCTGGAACAACCTTGAATATTATACAGTTAATTGCATTTTATTTGTTTAAGTTTATGTTAATAAATTGACCCACCATCTCAAACTCCTTGTTAATGTCGAGTGTCATTCAATATGCTTCAACACCAATACATAAAGCCTCCCAAGATTTGTTTTGCAGATTTTATATTCATTTAATTGCAAAAATAAATGCAGAGTTATTTGAACTGGAACATCCTTGAGTAGGGTGTAGTTATGTGTATGTGATATATTTAGACTTGCATATTTAGACTTGACTTGCATCGAGACCTCATTCTTAATCTATAAAGTGTCTCTTAACTGCTTAAAAACAAACACATACAGCTTCCAACAAACAGAGCAGTATTTGTCAAGACCATGGAAATGGTTGATACTTTTGATCCATCTATAGCCTTGTTTAATCTTAAAACAATGGCTATATATTCTGGACAGTAAACAGTATTACCTTTTATATATCTTACTCACGTGGAAGGACATGCGTCTGTCAAAGTCTATATGACACTTAGGAGATGATTACACAACATTTTATTTACCCCTGGTCATTATGACAACTGTTTGATTGCCCTGGTAACTGTTGCCCATATCCAAAGAACAAGAATGATACGATATGAAATCAGAAGCAAATGTATTGATTAATAGCTTGAGGTATCGGAGGAGAGGATGCTTACAATTTCTGCACAGTTCCTTATCTTTTAGTCCATTTCTGCACCTATTTATATATCTAAATATAAATACAAGAAATCTATTATTTCTTAAATATATATATATATATATATATATATATATATACAGCTGCGTACGCAGGATATTTTTCAAGGGGGACTTTTAAAATTGGATTGCATCATTCAGTTTCGGATCCAAAATTTTCCAATAGGAAGGAGGGGGGTGGGGGCCTGAAAATCGTGCCGACTGATATTTCGCTCAGTGGGGGTGGGAGGGCGTAGTGACCACTCTTTGGAAATGTTTGTTTCTATACTTGCACAAAGAGGGACCTTAGCATATTTAAAATATATATGGTTATTGTTATCTATTTGCAATCTGTGCAAGCTCCAAATCGATCTATATTTAGTGCCCCTATTTGAACACTGCTACTTTTTTCTGGGAATCTTTATAACTATGTTTAAATAACCTTTACAATGGAAAGAAATAGTATGATATTGATTTCTTAATAGCATTTTCTTGTCCTTCACAAGTACTTAACAATCACAATAAACAGAAAACTATAATTTTGAGAATCAACTGAATAATGCTTACATGATCAGCATTTATATTTATCAGTCTTACATTCCACCTACAGAATTAAGAAAAAAGAAAGAAAAAAAGCAGAAGTAGAATGAAGAGAAGAAGAAGAAAAGGAAGAAGAAGAAGAAGAAGAGAAAGAATAAAAAGTAGAAGAAGAAGAAGGAGGAGAATAAAAAGGAGGAGGAGAACAAAATAAAGGAGAGGAAGAAGGATAAGAACAAAAAGAAGGAGAAGAAAAAGGAGAACAAGGAGAAGAACAAGAACAACAAGGAGGATAAAAACAAGAAGAAGGAAGACGAAAAGAAAAAGAAGAAGAGGTAGAAAACATGTCAGGGCAAGAGTTACTTTCAACTCCCACCCTTATCATCTTCTTGATAGGGTATTTTAGTTATACTTGGTATATAAATGGTAATTAACATGTCCCAGCAATTTGGGTCAATAAATAGACAGAGCAAAGGTAGACTTGGAGTGTTTGTCGTTTATTTTCTGTCAGGAATACCTTGATGAGATATAAATGTAGATGATCATTATCATGTTTGTGTCTGTTAGTATAGTTATGTTACTTGATATATCTTGTCATTAACCAGCAGCAGAAACTGGGTAAAAACCAGGATAATTGACTCATCAGTCCAAGCTTTCAACCCTTGGGAATAAATCACACCATCCCTTTGTGTTAAAGCTAGGTAACATATTTATATCACTGAGGAATCCTACTTATGTTGAAAGTCAATTGATTTAGATTTGTATGTTCCAACTCTAAATGCGAAGTGTAATGATGGTGACATTGATGATGAAAATTGTCTTAATGATATAATAATATTCTGTTCTTGTATAGCGCATATCACATTATACAACGTCTCTATGCGCTTCCAACCCCACGGAAGACCAGCTTTCCCATGTCGGGTAAGCTGAATGTGGCCAACCACCGTATCTCATGCTTTATTATGTTTTTATACGGAAATAAATACTACTACAAAGAGCTTTAGAAATTATTACCCTAGCTTTTGCGCCGGCAGCCGTTTTCACCGCACAGTGCATTTCAAGGAATAATCCTACCAGGTACCCATTTACCTCACATGGGTCGAGTGTGGCAAACGTAGATTAATACCTTGCAAAAGGACATTAGTGCCGTGGCGCGACTCGAACCGTGGACCTTGCAATCCATGCAGATTCTTAGAAAGATGATAATGCTAACAGAATAGAGTAAACCAAGAAGGACCTCACCAGCTTTTTGACTTTTGTAGTGTACATAGGTAACAGATGATCATCCAACAGAGGACTCAGACGCTCCCCACCCCCCCCCCCCCCGTTATGACAATTAGCCCTCATCCCAACTAGTCCATTTGACAAGAAAGCCTTAGGTAATTGTTGAAGGATAATTTTCCTAGGGGCTAATTGTCTTTGGGAAGATGTCCTATATGTTGGTTGTAACTGTTGTTGGAAATGGGTGTGTAGTGGTTAGATGGGTAGATGGCTACTGCCGGGGATGTGGAGGTTATACTTGAGTGGAAGTTTTCAGAAGTGTAGGTAATGCACCACAGATCAAACAGGTGAAATAATTTAGCATTTTAGTTCATCTGCTTATTTGTAAGGGAATATTAGGAAAATGGCACCTGCACTCAACAAGAACTTGGGTTGGTCAAAACTATGACGTGTTTCTTTTCTGTGGCATTTTTTGCACACTACAGAAGGTAAATGTTTAGCTACGATTTTAATAGTGTGGTCATTTTTTTAATCAGAAGATTGCGTTTAAAGACATTGTTGTTTTTAAAGAACAGCGAATTCTGTGAAGTGGATGACTCTATGAAGTACCCAAGTGTACCGCCATACTGAGCAAGTTGTCAAGGATACTGGTTCCAAACAAATTTGTGCTAGACAATAATAGGGACTTTTAGATTTGCGTGGACTGATACGTGTGACGTTCATTCAAGGCAGTGCATTAAAAGGCTGTCGACCGTAGCAATCCACATTATCTTCGTGCAGATCTAAAAGTCCCTAATAGCGTAGTGATCACGACAGCGCCATTGTCTTATTTTGGATTAAAAACCATCTCTCTGTATGATATTTAATTTGGTCAGAAATGATGAATAACACTATTAAGTGCAAAGTTGTAAATCTAACTGACCGGTACTTCCAACACCTCGTGAATATGCCATTTTCGTAATGCAATCAAATTGAATGCACAAATCTTTATTAAGTGCCTTGTTTTAAATTATTGAATTCACCTGTTGCGAACAATTATATTTCAATAGTCAGAATGAGAATTGCATATTATTAGGACAAGCCATAATGTTTGTCCTACCCAGCAATTGGTTTGTAGGTGGGGGAGGGGGGGGGGCGATTACATATGATGACATTTTTTTTCTCATCAGTGCAATCACTGACCTTGTGTATTATCAAAGTCTTATCATCTTGACCACTGCCTGTTTAGGTAGGGGTTTTCGCATCTGTAATGTATATGGATAGTTTTCTGGGATTAGAATTGAAGACCTTAGTGTATGGCCTCGGGTGTTTATCTCTAAGGTTAATGTATTTACTGCATAATTTTGTTTATGGTTAATTTGAAATAAGTGACTTGTATACAATTTTCCGATTGAATGTGTCCTTTTTTCTTAGTGCTATTTGGCTAGTATGGTGTCAAATGTGGATTATTGATTGGAAAGGTCTGTAATTTAAATGGAATGAGGCTGGTCACGTGTTTTAAAGATCTCATAGTTGCAAATATCCCGATTTTGCACGATTCCCTTTTTATGCAAATGATTGAATGAGTTACAAAGCATTATCTAAGAATTTGTTTTCAGCTGTGATACTGTCTAAATTTTGAATGTGTTTTTGAAGTATCGATATCATTGAATACATTCCATTTAAAATGTATAAATTTGAGCGTAAGTAAAGAGCTAGATTTCTTTTATGAAAGAAAACACACTAGCATTATTTTCTATTCTCTATTCTCTATTAATAAGGACAGTGAATGAAACTCTATCTTGAAACGTTTTATCAAGAAATTGTGAATAAAAAGACATAAATTTGAAATGAATGAATGTTTCTGATTATTGGTGTATGTGTCACTCACAAGTATTAATTATAATTTGATATTGAATATATGCTAAGATTAATACGTATGTGTATAGGTACACAAAACTCAGTTTTTGTAAATGTGAATTATCCTTTCCAAAAGATAATAATAATAATCATAATGATGATGAGGAGGAGAAGGATGAGGAAGATTGTGATGATGATGTTGATGATGATGATGATGATGATGTTGTTGATGATGATGATGATGATGATGGTGAAGATGATAGTAATAATGTTTTGTTTGTGTGCCCATGGTAGCTTCATCAGTATTAATACTGTTCTCCATGAGGGCCCTGCAATCATAAGTAATGATAATGATGATAATAAATGATGAAGATGATGATGAAGACGATGATGATAATAATAAGAAAGATCATGATAATAATGTAATGTAATTGACCTTACAGATTTGACGCAAGAGGAGAGTCATAAAATACAATCGACACACGTCATGGTTATGAGTGATAATGTATGTTTATTTGTTGCAAGGCAACTATATTTCTTGAATATCACATATACCAATGATAGAGATAAAGGGTGTGTACACCGGAATAAACCGCAATCCCACAAAACAAATATCCTTTATCCTTGGTCTGTCTCAACCATAATATTCTTCTTATTCATACCGAGTCTTTGAAATGTGTATTAGTATGTGGCTTACCTTTGTATACTTAAATATGTGACGTATATTTGACTTCAAATATTACAATTTGTATAGATAGAAGTAATGCTTGATATCAATTGAAAATAAAACCACTAATATAAGCGGAGACGTTGCTTTTATATACCGTGGACTTTGGTTTTGCTGCCATACTCTATACACCCACGTACTTATAATGCAACACACTTATTCCAAAAATTAAACAAATAAAAAGGAACTCAGTAACCTCAATTCTTTTTTATGTTCTCTTCTTTTTCTTCCCAAGCGCATATAGAAACATACTTATATATTTTGTTAGTTTTAGCGACTTTTAAAATCACTTTTTTTTCAGTCAGCGTGAATTATCTTAACACGGTTGCGCAATTAAACAGTTGAAGTAGTGAAAGAGATTTTCGATTGCCACTTCCTAAACAACTCTTGAAAAGTTATCTCTCATGTCTTTCTTTAAAGTTTGTGTGCAAGAGTGAGAGTACAAATATAGGACATGGTTCTATTTTAATTCAAGTGCGGAGACACAGCCCTCTCAATACCTGATACTAATACAAGGAGGCTACATTTTAGTTTTCGAAATGTTGAAATTCATTCTACGGTTAAGGAAGCATTGCAAAATGAAGATATCTTTCTACGGTCATTTGAAGATACTTGTATCTTTTATCACGTGTAATTTTCTATCAAATATAGCGCTTCGTTTACGACATAATACAAATTGCTTTGATACATTCTATTATAACTTATTTGCATATATGCTTTGTTCAACGACGTCAAACGTCATACTTCGCACTAAAACATGTAAAGTTGTTCTTACCAGGGCCGTGAACAAAAGTCTATTTACAAAAGTTTACAGTTTTACAAAATATACAAATTACATTCAAATGAACAAAATTGGTGCAAAAGGTAGAAAATTAATATAACGATTTGTCAATCGAAAATGGTAATATCAAGCGCAGTGTTTGCTTTAAGATACTTCCATACTCCTTATAAGTGCTGCCAAATGAGTCATTTCCCAGAAAGCCATCATAAATGTTTTTTAAAGCAGGTTAGGCCTACTATGGATTATTAAAGGTGAATGTTTATTCCACTGAGAACAGTGGGATAGCCCGTACAATAAAGTAGATCGCGTGATTTTTATTTGAATAAGACAATGAGCATAACAAAGATTGTGAGGAATGTAGTACCTCGTCTATTTATAGTCCATGATCAAATCTTGAGTTCTGATAATGGTAGCTCAAAACTATTCCGAATTCCTTTTTATGCATTTAGAGAGTTTTAGACCAGCAAATCCAGGGAAAGTTAAACGATTTTTGCCAGAAAAAAAGTTTTTCACTGACAACTCTCATTTGCACCTTTATAATAATATGAGACCCCAATGCCGTGTATGTATTTCGGATCGACTGGCTTGATTTATCGGAATCTTTCTTACTGTTTCATTTATAACATAAGTGTTATGTATATATATATATCAAAATCGTTTGGCAGGAATCATTTTATTTGTATATTTTTGGACGGTTTCGATTTGAATTCTGTACAAATTCACTTTGCGTCATGATCTTAACTCAAGGAGTACTTTCGATTAGTCACTACGGATAATTCAAAACGACTTTTTAAGTATAAAACAATCAGTTATTTATATTCTGTAATATTTGGCTCCGATTTAGTTTGCCATTTACCTAAATTGAAATATATCCATCAATTCACGTATTAACGTATCGATGCTACATACTTGCTACTACCTTCTACTGAAACATTTTATTGCACATGCACATAAACAGAAAAAGAAAAGAAATATTAAATAATAATACTCGAGGGTGAAAACCTTGATGACGACAGTTTCATTTCAAAATGAAATTATCTGATAGTGACTGTACAAAATAAACATCCATGCATTTTAATACCGGAAACCCAACATTTTATTATCTTGATATTAACTTGAACTCGTAAAAGATACCACAAGATGTCTATTTGATAGTAATAGTGAAATAAAATACACTGGAATTTGGAAACATATTTCTTTCTTAATTTAAAACTTTGCTGGGTCCTTTTGAAGGATGCCAATAAATATTGCAATTAAACGAAGGCAACAAAGGCACTTAAGTGAGTTGTATCAATATCACGGAGAAAATAATTTGCCTTTTAGTCATGTAATTGCTCGTCGTAAGAAACTAGATTCATCTCATCTTTTTTATAACATAGTTGCTTCATTTACATTCTGAAATATAATATTGAGCTATAAGTAGAACTTTGTCTTCTGAGTTTAACAGCAAAAAGCACGCCAGTGTTATAAAGTGAAAAAAAGCTTTGAGTGACGTCGTGTAAGACGTCATAGAGCTGCAGCGAGTGAAGAGAACTGGGTTATGAAGTGGCACCTAGGCCATGCTGATGACGATACAGATATCTTTCGCTCACTATAGCTGGTCCTTAGATGATTTCTAGTAATGAAGATGGTAATTCGAATGTGTAGATTCTAACATCTCGGCCATACAGCAGTCCTCTTTGATGTTAGACATTCGAGAATCTGGCCCTTGGCGTTAATTCACTTAGTTATTTTCACAATATTATAGAAGGACCACATGCGTGTACATGCAGGTTCCGAAAGAAAGAAAACATTGTCACGTTCGCAAACTGTTTCCATCCACCACTTTGTCTTTCAAAGAAGTTTGATCATTCAGCGAAAAGTCTTTAATACTGTTCAATCTACCAGCTTTCAAGAGACAGGCTCAATCGACCTGTATCTGCGAAGATCAGCAAGTTTTTGAATTCTTTCAAGACACAACTCATATCTGCTTTCAGCAGGAGCATACAGAAAATGTGCTCTTTTTCTTGGCAAGTAGTTCAATTTTCTCTGTTGTCGTTGGGCGTGGTAAAAGAGGTCGATTTGTATTCATCTGAAGAGGAAAGTGAATATTAAAAAATTCTGATTAAAATGGGAATAATGAATGAGGTAAAAATACGAATTCTTCATAAATCTGCTTTTAATTCTGTTCGGAAAACTGAATCAATCACGTCGTTCTCTTCCCACTCTATCAACTAAAAAAGTACACTTTCAAAGACTTATAGTCACAGCTGTATTATGCTATTGATATGATAACATCATTTAAATATGAAATGTCACATCTTGATTTTAGACACCATTTAAAGGAAAACCTGTTTTTAATAGCCTTCTAATTCCAAGGAGGAATTAAACCAAGTATTTACTATGTTAACATATTGTTTCTCGCTGTATTGATAAATACATGCCTAGACAGGTCCACTTTAGTGATCTTGGCATACCTTTTTGTTGTACCTATCAAGCATCTGTCTTGTAAGAGTCTCGAAGACGTTCTCAACATTTTCACCGGTCTTCGCACTCGCCTCGATGTAAGGAAAGTTAAATGCTTCTGATAACTGTAAATTAAGAAGAAGAAATCAAGGAATATAAGCAACCAGCAATCGTAGGATGGTATTGATATTTGAAATGCACTTTATCGTTCATACCACCTTCAAAACTAAGAATATGAAGTAAAATATATTATATGAAGATGTTTTTTATAATTATGATATCCAAATACAAATGTTTCTGAAATGAACTGGACGTCTCAGTATAGCGACATTTCACGAGACTGACGACTCATAAGACCGACCGATGTCGACCTCGTGATTCCTCAGAAAAGTCATACATTTTGAAGGCACGCGAGACTGACATTTTTAATCTCAAGGGCATTCGGTCTCTGGGGCTGTACCCGAATGAATTAACTGCCACAGTTCAAATATACTACACCCCACACTGATTACAGTTCTTTGTCAATACAAACCAATTTGAGGGTTTTGCAGTGAGGTTGTAGAAAATAATCTGAGCAAACCTTACCCTCCCATTATTTAAAAAAACCTAGCTCGCAATATTACCGTCGGTAATAGTTACGACGTTTATTGATTTCTTGCTATGACGTCACTGGGAAGCTTGAAGGCAAATATTTTCATTCTCTTAGCCTTAGGGTTATGAAACCATCGTCATTAAGCTAATATCCACCATTCCAAGATATAACAAGTGATGCAATATCAAATTCGATGGCACTTTGCCAGTGCTCATCATCTTGAAGCATTATGTATTACTATAGTTTAACCGCATCCTTCAAAAATATCATTCTGGTCTTTTAATTGCTGACCACTCGCATTTTCCCCAGAAATGATATGTCTAAATTCAAACTCAAATATAGTGAGACGACATGAAACGGTATCATCACCTCTTTGTCTTTCTTTTACGGATGAAGTGAATTCTTACCGTTATTGCTCGTTTGCTTGGCACTCTTCTTGCTCTAGTGAAGTCGCTCTTGTTCCCAACCAGGACTTTGCATATGTCGGGAGAAACATTCTGGAAAACATGAAATAATAAACAATTTATTGTCAAAATACCATTCTTATATTTTGAAGAGGGGGATAACAGAACAGATTGTAACTTCTTGGTATAACTGCAAGTAATAACATTGTGTATTTTTGTAGTGATATTTGGTATGTTATATGAACATTGCATTCCTGCATTTAATAGCTTTGCTGTTTCGATTGTTTCTTTTTTATCCTGTATAAATATTTTTGATTTTGACAATTTATTGACACCTCTGTAACCTTTTTAATATACTTGAAGAAAATACTAGAAACGGTCGCACTATGATACAGTTGTATACATATGTACTGTGCCAAGATACAATAGGCCTATACATATTTTCCCATTTATCTCATTCCATTTATAAGAATTTAAAGTGATTATTTAACCCATTGTTAACCTCAGTTTATCGTTTGAATGCAATGAACTCGCTATTTTGATGAGCTTATCTTGATTTATCTATCACTGTACACTAAAATGCCCTTATACCAGGTACGTGACTATAGATAGGCCTATTTCATGAGATACTCGTCGTAAATTATGTGCTCACCGTAATTATGTCAGAAACATGTCTGGTATTATCTGTATAACCAACAAATAACACTTAACCTTTGTTTCTATATAAAAATGCCACTCAATACTCTTATTCTTAATTTTTGTTATCTTAAGGTGATTTGCAGAACTGAACAACACTTTTGTCAGGGTAATATAATAACATATTTGTTCAATGACTCATGAATAAGTAAACAGGGGTAGTTTCTACCGTTTGAAAATAATATTTGTATTCAGTTGAGAGCATATAGAGACAAGAAATAAGCCAATTAATATGCTTATACAAACACTTGGAAAGTATAAAGTGTAAAACAATAATAATTTTGATATATTTCTGGCCGAAAGAGTTTCTCTTTTATTGAACATTAATGGGAGAACGTCTGTTCACGTGACTATAACAATGACAGAAAATATGAAGAATAAAGAGGTAACAGTGGAGACAAACATAGACGATAAAAATGATTTTACAATTCATAATATTCATCCATATAAATAGTATCACCACGTGCAGCATCATAGCCTGTTACACATGTGCAAGTGAGACAACTACAACTTACACTTGCTATTAATAGCCTATATTATGCCTTTGAGTTGTGAAACATGCTGAAGTCATTTTGATTTCTATATTAAGTAGACTATATCGGTAATCGAAACATTCATCAATCTAGATCGAGATATAAGTAGCATGGGAAGTGATTCTCGGGTAAGGCGTATTTCACTGTTTATAAGAAAATGGCAGTAATAGCTTGGCCATGTATAGAGCACGTGCGCTTGACTGCCACACGCTTGGCTGAAGCTGACCCGATATACACTGTAGCACTGAGCGACGTAGAATAAGCATCATGTATTCTTGTTCTTTACTCGATTTTTCTTAGCTAGGCACTGAAGTTGATCTAGCATGAGCTAAATCATTGATTTTGTTTTGAGTCCGAGGCCTATTCAGCTTTTCCCTTTAACAATGTTATCAAAAGTTTGCACATTGAAATGGAAGCAAATTCATGCCAGTGCAAGTCAGTGGCAAACAGTTGTTCAAATAGCATTAAACTGTTTCTCAGAAAAGCTTTCATGTCTCATTGGTAGTCCAAAGTCAAAGTTTACTTAGAGCACTTTAAACTTGCATATATATATATGTACACTCTGTTGCCCATACAGATGGAATAATGTTTCCTTATCCGTTTTCATGAAATGATTATTTAAAGACAATATCATTTTCTCTTGATAAAGTTTGTATCTTCTCATAACTTTACTGATCAATTTAAAGTGTCGTAGATGTGGTCGATAAAGTTCTGAGAAGATATAAACTTTTTGTGGCAAGAATAAAAAAATAATATTGTGACAATCACTTCATGAAAAGATGTAAGAAAAATTATTCCTACTTCATGAGCAACAGTGTATGTAGCGAACAATTTCACTTTACTGCTAAGAAACATTGGCGTAGGTTTTTTTTCTACCTAGGGGGGGGGGGGGGGGGGGTTGACGTCTCCTGCCTGGATTCAACTTTTCAATTTTTCACAAAAGCAGATATTATTATCAAGATAAGGTTTATTTTTCCAATTAAACTACACAAGATAAGATATACAAATGACATAATTAGGGCATCTCGCTGCCCGAATATGCGGATAATTCGGAAAGTGGGCTCTTCAACGAATATTTACATTCGAGTTTCGTTCTGATAAGTAAATATGAATCACGATCACGTGCAAAAGAGCTTCTACTTCAGCCATGTCTTTCTTGACTCTGTTTACTCAGATCTCGAGCTGAAACAGAAGGTTATACGATAAACACCTATACCACTATAGCATGGACCATATGAACATGACTGACAAAGAAAGCGGACAAAAATATACAGTTCCTCAGTTAGACAAAGGAACATCCCTTCACTGCTATTATGTAAAAAGGTGAATATGCATGTGACACTTGTTCTACACATTTGTACATAATAGCAGTGAAAGGATGTTCCTTTGTCTACCTGAGGAACTGTATATTTTGTCCGCTTTCTGTGTCAGTCATATTCATAGTGATAGGATCACATTCTCTGTCCATTACGTCACATTTTTTTAAAGATTAAGTCCCGCCATTCCCACCAAAAGAATGGAAAAGAAGTTTTTTACTCCAAAAATAGTAGAAGAGAAAGAGAGAGAGAGAGAGAGAAAAAGAAAGACGGAGAATAAAAAGGAGAAATAAACAAAGATATAGACAGGAGGAGATCGAAAGATGGAGAGGGTGGGGGTTCAAGATACTTACACGGGCAATATCGTCAAGCCAACTAGTCACATGATCAAATGAAGTCTCTCTCGTTACATCGTAGAGAATGATGATGCCCTGATATTAGATGAAAATAAAGTATCATAATGAAACTACATTTCAGCATTTTAAAATTATGACTCTTTGAAAGAATTAGTTTAAAATACATTAAATATTCCATTAAACATAAGTTAATCGGCACTTACAGCGTCATGAGTCAATTTTGAACGATTACTTTGCATCAAAATATGCATTAAAACATACGTTTAAAAAAATCATTCCAATCATCTAATCTATATCAAAAGTATACTTTCAAAGTATTACCACGACAGAAAAATAAACCTAAAGTAGATATAGCTTCACACACAGTTCAAAATTTTAAATTGGTATTTTATCGAAGTATAATGGATCTTCCCTTCATATCATTATTGATTCTTGATAAGGGAAAAGGCAAAAAAAAGAGACGTTTCTTGTCAAACATAGAGTATTTATGCGAGCAAAGGTATATAGTCAACAAAAATAAATAAGAATTTTTGTTACGAATCCCAGCTACATTTAATTATTAACATCAACAATAAATCACTTAAATTATTTTATGTCTACAAACATCATTATTATATATTATCAAATACATTATACATATATGTTATAAGGTTATTTTTTCAAATAAATAGCAAATTATAATAATCAAATAACAAAATAAAAAATAAAAAACTAATAAATAAGACAGAGACTCACCATGGCGCCTCTATAGTACGCTGTTGTAAGAGTTCGAAATCTTTCTTGACCTGCTGTGTCCCTGTAAAGTTTGTTGAGATATGAAGAAAATTAATGATATAAAAATCTCCTTCTACTTTGAAGGCATTGTATTCTACTGACATTACCTTAGATTTACGTCTACTGCCATATGCTGCCCAGCAGTGGTAGCGATGTCGGTAAAATACCCCCCCCCCCATAAACCCAACAATGAACGGACCCACGTGATGTATTAAAGGGAAAGTCCACCCCAAAATAAGTTTGTTTCGATAGAGGCAGAATAATAAGAAAATCAGGAAAGTGAAAGTTTGAGCAAATTCTGAATAAAAATAAGAAAGTTATGAATTATTGAAGTTGTGATCAATCAAATACAAATTGGCAACTATGTGACTTATTATACGAGCTCTCCTTCATTTGCTTTGTGCATAATATTCCATAAAATCATGTTTTCTTCGTTATTGATGACGGAATATATATTTGTTCCTTGCAGGGGGAGTATAGAAACATATTTGCAATTATTATATTTAGGGTGCATGTATGGTTGAATTTTTCTTGAGGAAAATGACAATTTTAGATTTTTTAGTACTGAGCAAATGGAAGTTGAGCTCGCATGATACGTCATAGAGTTGCCAATTTGTGTTTGATTGATCACAACTTCAAAAATCCTAACTTCCTTATTTTTAATCGGAATTTGCTCAAACTTTCACTGACTTGTTTCTCTCATTTTTCTACTCCTATTAAAACTAACTTAATTTCAGGGTGGACTTCCCCTTTAAAGCTGCATGAGTTTATATCATACGGGAATGTATTTCTCCCACATGAACATGTACATGTGATAATGAATTGTTTTGGTTGTTTCAATTTTTTTGGAATTTTCATCATAGTTTAATTTTAATGTTATAATTTTGTCAATTTTAAAAATATCTTAATATCACGACGTTTTGAAGCCGGCTCTGGATTATTTACTTCCCTTTTTGCAATTAATATAAAGGAACCCCCCCCCCCCCCAAAAAAAAAAAAATATATATATATATATATATATATATATATATATATATATATATATATATATATATTATATCTTCAGTTATTTGGATACGTTCATTGCATTTTTGTTTCCAATTCATCTACAAGATTTCCCACCAGAATGTATGAAAGAGGTGTAAAGCATGAGGTTCTTAGCATGATTTACAGATTTTCAGCACGACACGGGCGTCGCCATTTACTTGATATCATGCCAAGAATATCTTCATTTTATTTCACTTGTACATTTTCGTAAGGAATATTGTACATCAATAGGCAGCGATTAATAAATCTCATATTTCAGTGAACCTACACTTATTCGTTGGGATGAGGTTTCCATTAAGAATACTCCTCAACGATGACATGGTTTATTTTAAGGTCGAAATTATTCAAATTTCATCACTTTAAGTAAGGTGATCTGAGATGGAACACTCATCCCATCTGTATAAATTTACTTTGAAAGGGAAAACAATTGCTTAAAACATTTTGAAACTCAACTTTATGAGTTTTTGTATTTTATAAAGAATAACAATCATATGCTGTAACTTCCACAAACATACGTACATACACACATAAATACGTATATATACTTAAAGATAGACCTGAGTCTGTTGATGGAAATTCGAAAAGAAAGCAATAACTAATGAAACGAAATTGTTAGAGAAAGCTAATATACGACTGTTCGGCTATAACCAGGCACGTAGCCACGAGGGGCAAGTGCCCCCCCCCCCCCAATTTCCAAGATCGGTTGAACTTTTTTAGACCCCTCCCCAGGACGTCGATCAATTACATGTATGTGCCCCCCAAACATCAAACTCTGGCTACGGGCCTGGCTATAACCCTTTGTCAAGTGATGGCAAATTTCATTCAAAACCCCAAAAGGGCACCACAGTTTAATCCTGAGTGCGCGAATTTTAAGAAAAAAGGATGCCAGCAAATATGTTTTCGTGAATTAGTTTGAAATGAGTGTACATGTATTATGTAAACAGGAGCTTCCACCATATTCTATAAATTCCACATACACGTAAACGCACAATACACATGTATGCAAGAATCGTGCCCTTTATCGTTAGAATTACCTCGCCCTCATATCGCGTGTCTTAACACGTGATTGCAATACAGCAAATATTTTGTTCTGTTTCAAACATTGTACTTCGGGATTTCAATCTGAACATGTCGAAATCGCAAGATGGAGGTACCCATACCCTGTCAGCAAACAATGAAATATTTTTGGGTCAATATTTGAGATAATTTTGGGGCCCCTCTCTCTCTCTCTCTCTCTCTCTCTTTTTTTTTCTTTTTTGTTTTTGTTGCCGCTGCCGTTATTTTCTTATCAACCCCTACGCCCTTTGCCCCTGCCCATCTAAGCTCCTTGATTTGACAGGAGGGTTAGTTTCAATATTATTTTTGTTACAGTGTAGTGCACCCGTCTATGTACTGATTAATTGTATTGTTTATTCTGATAATTACACCATATTAATTCGATACAAACTTTCGAAAATAACATGTTACCCTATGTACGAAGACACTAACATCTAACTGTCTTACAAAATAGATACTGTCATGTATCAATAGATTAAAATCGAAGAAGAAAAATCTTTCTATCACTTTATACAAATGATATTAAAGATGATATTTCAAAAGTTGGATAGTACTTTAAATTCACTTACCATACAAGTAACCTGATTTTCTTTCCATCAACATTGATGATGTTCTTTTTTAGGTCCATTCCTAATCAAATTAGAAGAAGATTAGATACGGGACATGAATTAAGAATCACGTTCAAGTGCATGGTCGCAATAATCAGTTAAATCATTAAACTCTCTTGCTCAGCCAATTTTGGAAACTTGATATGCGCTGAAACGAAGTCTTTCTTTCGATATCCAGTATTGGATTTTTTAAAAATTTAAATAGTGCTCTTAAGCATCATGCAAGGTGCTCAAGGCGCTCCAACATTACCCCGGTTCTGGTATTGCTACCAATTTCGGTGCTGGAGCATTCAATGAATCACTCCCTACCAGGTACACATTTTAACAACTCGGTAATGAGTAGATGCTGAGGGATGGACAAAAAACAAAACACAAAACAAACGCAACAAACTACACACTACAGTGAAATTGCAAGCATAAACAAGAAAGGGGTTGCTTTCCCAGTTTTGAAAAGTGCAATAATGAACATATATATTCTGACAGCAATATGCAGTTTTGCACGTGTCAGCACATGTGTGCGTGCATTATTTTCCTTGTCAATCTATATATCGGCACTTTTACATGGGCTTATCCCCCCCCCCCCCCAATTGGGCCTAAAAAAGGGATGTTGTACTGCCCTTTGCGACGACCCCATAATATTGAAATCTGCGGTCGGCTTTTTAAAAAGGGCAATACAATTTTTTTTTAGGCCTAATTGTAGTAATTTTGTACGGGACGATCTAAAATGATGAAATTAAAAAAGTGGTATACTGACCTATCGTTCCTGTGCCATTTTCTTTAAAAACGTGTTCACAGAACATATTGATGAAACTAGTCTTGCCGACACACGTATCTCCTATGACGAGTATCTTAAATGAAAAGTCAGCTGGATCGTCAATGGGTGGACAGAAATGAGGGTACGGTGTCGACATCGATCGTGGTCGATGGCACTGCTGCCAGTTCTGACAGTCCATGATGGAAAGTGAGATGAGTCATCAACGGCAAAACATTAACCAAATCCGCCGCAACTCGTGAAGTCCGGACCGCAACTATCGTGGCTACTGTTAACAAGTTCTTCTTCGTCTTCTTGTTTTGGTAATCTCTGAAGGGCTGTACAGCCTTTAAAGAGATGCAGTACAGGTAGCGAGGTAGACAGATGATGTTTTAGTGGGATGAGGACATGCGATATGCCTCAGGAGTAGTCCCGCCAAGTTCTCTGGACTGTTTCAAAACATCTCGACAAGGTACCAGACGATTGCATTGTCTTCACCGCAGACAAAGAGCAGCTCTGCTAACAGTGAGCTTTGTCAATTGCAGCACATGGATGCAACGACCTATCGATCCCGTAACGTCGATTTCAATTGGTTTATTTACACTAGCTCAACAATAGATATGAGATTCCGTTAGAATCGGTCGCAGTTAATCATTGAAGAGTGTATTTATAACCAAGTACACGCCAAGTTTGGACGAAGGCGAACTTGTTTCTGTGCAGCAGGGCAGCAGAATAAAGATTTTTTATTAATATGAGGCATATTGGCCCGAGGTTTGTCGACAAACCTAGGTTCATGTGACGCGTTTCGATGCGTTTCAGACCAAGGTCCAGACAAACCTTGGTCTGAAAAGCGTAAAAACGCGTCATATATGACGCACCGAAACCTAGGTCTGTCGACAAGCCTCCTTTGTGAATTCGGGCCACCGTTTCTCGTTCATTTTGAGGAAGTTATAACGGGAAATTACGATCTATATTTAAATAAGTTAAAGTGATGCCGCACGTAAAATCCTTGGGGATATTAACAAATGAAATTTATGTAAGAAACGTTTGAAGTAATATTTCATAACAGTTGAATTACTGTGAACATGATATACAATTACGTGCATATAAAATTAAGTTTATCTGAAAAGAGGAGGAGACTTGACACAAATTGACAGACATTATGATCCGTTTCGGAACATCCCAGTAGACAGCCCAAATAAGGTTGAGACAAAATCTCAGAAGGCCCACGAGACCAACATTGGCTGTTGGTCTCGACGGTCCGTCGGTAGCGTTTACCCTCAGATTATATTTCGAAAGCCCATGAGACGAACGTCGATCTCGTGGGTTGCCTTAACGCTTGTTATGTGCTATTGATCTCGAAGACTCTTGGTCGTCAACTTGGCTTTCGTTTTCCACCATTGAGTGTGTGGACGTACTATAACTATGATGGTAATAATATTTATAAATGATAATGATAATCTACCTATCTAAAAACAAAAACAAAGTAATAACAAATTAGATGTACAAGAAGACTAAAATACTATTTGATGGACTGACGATAGAGGGCAATATTCCACATAGGGCATACTTCGCATACAGGAGCTAGCTATGAAACTTGGCTTCGATAACATTGCTCCCTATAGTTTGGTCAATGTGTCTGTGAATATAGCTAATTGATATATAATGCATAGCACTTCAGACTTAAAAACGCAAATGGCAAGTCGATTGATTCCTTATCTTTAGGAGGGAATATTATGTAAATCGATTAATTCTGCGAATCTCTACCGGCCCACCCCCCCCCCGCGAGTTCTATGACCTTGTCTATTACATAATCAAGACTAGAAAAGTTTTTTTTTATCGATATTTAAAGCAATAGTAAATATTGATCTGGATCTAAACAAATCGGTCCCATGTTGCCCCTGGTTGAACATTGCATCCCAAAAGACAGAACCAAATAACAATTATGTTTTGGGGATTTGTGTTTCCTTTCAGCTGAACGTTTGTGTACCCGCGGCTTATATACATTAATATGTTAAATCAAATAAAGTTATTGAAATAAAAATCAACAGTTTCGGATCATCATAATTATTAATATGCAGTAAAATACCACCCAAAATCAGAACAAGAACAAATTAAAAACTGACACAGACTGACAATTTATCATAATTTCCTCGGTTCAGTTTGAGACAATTTTTTTCTCTCAGTATTTGAAGGATATTTACATCACCCCTATAGTCGTATAGGTTTATAGTGACGTATCTTTGGTCTAATCAATGGAGGTAAAAGTCTTCCTCTGTATTTTACATTTCTTTGTAATGAACGGAATTAATAACGTGTGAATCAGGAGAGCTGCAGTGTATATGACCTTCTCAACTCCTGTTTATTTCCTTGTTTGTTTCCATCTCTTCCTTCTCTTTAATGCGGGGTGGGATGGGTGTGCAGGTCATGAGCCCTCCCGTAGTTACACCATGTTTCATTAGGCCATTAAAAAATATACATGTTGAGCGTCCCCGCCCACTTCCTTTTTGGGGGCCTTATAGCTCGAAGCAGGCACCAGTAGATATAATGAGTAATATTAATCACGCCATTTCATCGTAACTTTTTTTTTTACCCGGGAAAGCCACATTAGCATTACTCTCTCTCTGCTGGTCATTTAATGCACCATCGTCATGTGTCCATTTCGATACACCTGGCTAGAAAGTAACTATTGTGCCTTGGACAAAATACCTTGTCCAAGGATGGAAGCACCAAGTGAGGTTCGAACCCGGAACCTCTCGTAGAAGAGTCAGGGGCTTTCATCGACAAACCAAGGTGCTCCCGTAATTAAATGATATTGCTTTGAGCGCAGTCTCTTATTTAATTCTGAATTTAAATGCAACTATTCAGTACTGATACAGAATTCGTGAGGGTTTTGCAAAGTAACGCTGAAGAACATTTCGGTAAATGGTAACAATTATTGGTGCTATCACATTCTCTAGGTTTTCATGAACCAAGAATTCTGTAAAAACGGCCTCCGAGTGCTGTTGATACCCCCATGGTCCCAAAGGGATTTTTTTTTAAATACCAACTTAGAGTGTACTTTTCTATTTCTTAAATAGTTTAACTAACAGAGCCTACGTCAGGCGCGCCGGAAGCAGTTTGGGATTGGGGGAGGGGGGGGGGGGGAGAGAGACAAACATTCCAAGGGGCTCACCTACCAGGGGCAGTGACGTAACGAGCAAAAACGTTTGGAAGGGGGGGGCAGAAGAAAAATCTGCATCACCACCTCTCTTACACGTTACATGCAGGCCCAGCGGAACGTTTTTCAAAGTGGATTATTAACGAAAAGGTAGAGCGTAAATTGGCGTGGGGTCTAGGGGCTGAGCCCCCAGAAGCTCAGGGGTTTTAGGCATTTAATTACGCTCAGATGAGCATATTTTGATACCTTATTTGTGACATTGGCAGGTCACTTATTTTTTCTCTCTCTTTCTTTCTTTTTCTCTGTAACAAACTTTTTCAACAAGTGAGGGAGACTCGAGCCCCCGAGCCCGGCCGTTCTGCAGACCCTGACATAAAGGCTTCTAAATAAGCATATTTTCCGCCCGACTGTAAATTTTCCAACAAACGCATAAAAAGGTATGACTTACAATTTTTTTTAGAAAAAATACCGGAAATCATGTCATTTCAGCAACATTTGTAAATCACTGGTATCGAATATAAAATACCCCCATCAGTACGCCAGCGTTCAGGGGCTCATGAGCTTCTCACCCCTATAACAAAAAACACACACGCTTTCCCATTCTCTCACAATTATGTCCACGATATGCGCGTAGGCTATCGCTATTATTAAAACCTCCATTGATAAATATAGGTAGCATGCGCAATGTTGAGGAAATTTAATTCTTGTTAACTTTCCTATTCTCTGAATGGAGTTTTTATACGACATTTAATTCAGGTTTTTATTATTGTTATGTTCTTTTGGGTTAAAAATACAAACCATCTTTACTCCTTTACTACTTTTTTTTTTTGGTTGGGGGGGGGGGCAAAAATGGGTTTTGCCCCCCTCCTACTTTTTTGGTTGGGGGGGGCAACTCCCCCCCCCACTTCCGGCGCCTATGGTCTACGTGACCCCTTCCTCTTTTATTCTTCTTTCGTGTATACCCCTATACCCCTCTTTCTAATAGAAAATTAAGTTTCCACGTGATTATTTGGTACTATGGTAGTCTGAGCTATAGCTGTAATTTTTTATCTGACAGTTCCGTTGGCTTTCTTTCTTTATAATTGGACTTTGAGCGCTATATACTATGTTTACACTCTGTACAAGGTCTTTGCACGAACCTAGTCTGTCCCCAGAAACACGCATAATGGACTTTGACATGTGAGAATTAGGATTACCAAACATCTGATCGAACAAAAAGAATTTCGTTACGTTCTGATTCCCAAAAGTATTAGGTAATCTGGAGTATAGAGTAGTGATGCTAATAGCGTACTACGATAACATCAGCGTTGAGCAGGGCAGCATCATTCTGGTAAGTTACGATTAAGGTTTGTAAGTTATTATTTTGTATCAAAAAAAAGACTCAGTAAGCAAAATATATAACATTGGCTACGCCCCTTTTACCGTCCATTATAAACGATATAAACCAGGTCAAGTCAAGTCTTTTTTTTTTTCGTTTTCCAGCGGGAAAAGTGTAAGTCTTTTAAAATATAAAATTCCATACAGTAGCCATGCAAATATGAGCCATGCAAATATTGAGGCAACAACGCGGAAAACAATATTAAAATTTTATACAGTACCCATGCAAATATGAGGCAAACAAGATGATGCAATGTACTGTTATTAAAGAAGTATTTTCTGTAATAGCATACCATTCGTTCTTTCTGTTGAAGAGGAATAAAACCACGATCATATTGACTTTCCAGAAATCAATTCAAGAGCAACTTCCGGCTTAAGAGATCATGCCTGGTTTACATAATACGTCATTGCAATGTCCGCACATGTAAATAGGTGATGGGCAACCTGTTAGTTTGTCTTAAAGCGGGACTACACTACTTGTAGCTATTTGCTTCCTCTCTATAGCAAACAATGCCTAAGTGGTACCGCTGCCCCATAGTCCCATTTTCTTATGTTAATTGAGAGCTGATTCGATGAGAAAACCACATATCAGTGACCACGCAGGGAGGTCTAATCCCTCCTGGCCAAACTAGTGCAGATAGGCTTGAGCCTTTGTGATCATGTTATTTCCTTCGACAGGCTTAGACGTTCTAAATCTGTACATTATTAAACAATTTGATATTGTTTAGTATTTCAATTGATACTTAACGATTACTATACTCTAATGTATTTCAATTATCAATATTTCAATAAATCTACTCAATTCAGTAATTTAATTAATATTCTCAAGAATCATATCGAAGCCCCGTGTATACTGAGCACATCCAAGAAGCCATCATCATGTCTTACCGAGTCTTTGAGAGTTCTTCTATCGCCAAGGATTACGCCCTCTACCGCCCATCTATTCCTGATGATGTCACAGATGCTATCATTGGCAAACTAAAACTTCAGGTGACATTTTTTTCTTTTTCATAAGCTTGTATTACACTTAGAAACACATTTGAATAATTTCGTGATTAATCTAAGGTATACATTCTGTATAATTTTGTGACAAATTACAAGCCCTAAATGCTTTTATTTTAGCTGATATCATGGTACATGTATAAATAAATCACAATAAACACTGTTTAAACATAATCTTACTTTGTGAACGGAATGTGATTCAATATTTAAGTTGTTCACCTGTGTATCACTGCCGTCTTTTATATAGTTTTTTAAAACGGTTATTTAGTAGGAGCATAAGCTTTTAAGGACCAATAGTTAACATATTCGTAGAATAAGAGCTGATTGTATTTAAGATATTTTGACATGATCGCAAGAACTTCCAAACAACCATTTAAATAGCTTCCTGCATCACCTATTGAAATGTGCGAAAAAACAATGACATAATGTATGAAATGATAATAATCCAAACGCTCTTCGTTGGAACTGACTGATTTCTGATTTCTTGAACGTCTTTTGCGATCGTGTTTTAGGCTTTTATAACTATTACTTAAAGGTAATACAAAGTTTTGGTAAGGGGTCATGAATTTGGTTCAAATTAACAAATTGGAAGCGTATGCGATCCTACAATATTCAGTGATCTTTATCGCGGTTGAAATCGAGTGTAAAGTTATGAAATTATGAATAATAAACTCTTTATGTTGTATAGCTCCCTCTCAAGGTCAAGATATTAATTAAGCTATAAAACAATGTTTATTGACTTAAATCTACCGATTAGCTATTCCCGTTTGGAAATTATATATCACAACTACGTATTCTGAGATTTTCATTGTCGCAGCTACCATTGTACGGCCGTAGGCGCTATTTGAAATTTATCAAAATTTACCGGGAGCACCGGTAAATTTTTGTATTCCATTTTCCTCGAAAGCAGAAGTGTTTTAGGGGCTTAATTTTCTAGTGCTTATAATACATCCACAGGGGCATCCAAATATATCAAAACTGTAGAAATTCACTATCCACCCAATTTTCAAAATTTCCCAAAACTTTGTATTACCTTCAATACTTTCTGAACAGAAAATGGTTACTTAGTTTCATAAGGGTCCTTTGACTGATTTATTTGTAATTTGTTATATTCAGTCAGTACCCTTAGCTAATTTTCTTGGTCGCTTTTTTGGTTCAGAAATCAGACGATCACGAATCCTTAGTGGTCGACATTGGCTGTGGGTCTGGACAGTTTACTCAGAGTCTCGCCAGACACTTCGACCGCGCCATCGGGTATGATATCAGTGTAGCCCAGATCGACGAAGCGCGGAGTCAGAACCAGAGAAAGAACGTAGAATATGGGCAAGTAGAAAATTGTAAAACCTATCTTTAAGGAAATTGCAGTTTATAATTTGGTTGCAAAATCAGAATAATATTGTGGATAGCATCGACATAAAAGGTCGATATGTTCTAGACCTCACCTTTGTACTGTCAAACTTATGGGGGGCTATAAAACGAAAAAATATGTCCACTGTTTCGAACCGATGAAAAGAAGGATAAAAAAAGGGAAAGAGGGGATGATGAAGAAATTGAATGTGTTGATACATAGGTATTCTCCCCGGAAATCAGTTTTAAGCAGAACTCACTCAAAAACTATGAATGATGCAAGTTAATTTAATCCAGGGAGCGATGACATTTTTTTCTATAATGCTTTTCTCTAAGCAGTTAAAGAAAAGGTCTGTGCACAATATAATGGTTGTTTCTTGTACTCGTATGTAATCTCTTAATACCAGCAATCGACAACTAGTCATTTGATTGGTGCTTTTTTCATGTATGTAAGACATGTGTATATCTCTCGTCATCTATATCTTATTATATTATCATCCATCATAATTTATGTTGATACTATGTGATGTTATTTTGAAATGAAAAAGATCAATATAACATGAAATACAAAAGAAAATAAAACAATTAAACTACTTTCGGGGGGGGGGGTATCGAAAATAATAAACTTGTAGTTCTGGTCTGTTCTGTTTTTATTCTCAATTGTGTTCTTAATATTTTGTTAACTACAGTTTGTTGTAAATATTCAAATGGATATCATTTTCTTTTGGCAGGGAAAGTATACATCAACGCGAGTTATATTTGTTTATAAAATCCATAAGAGATTACATGTAACACTTTAAAAATAATAGTTTGTACTTCAAAATCGAGCATTGTTGTATTGGCTAAGCAATTACAAGTCCTACTCTATAATTATTTCCGAATATTTGTTATTTCCGACCCTTTATAGAATTTCATCAGCTGAGAAGATTCCTTTGGAATCCAAGACGGTAGATGTGGTAGCCGTCTCTCAAGCCGCACATTGGTTTGATTTCTCTGCCTTCTGTCTGGAAGCTGACCGTGTTCTACGACCAGGAGGACACGTCGTGATCGTATCTAGCTTAAGGAAGACGTTACATCATGATGATCCCGTCATGGAAACCAAGATCAACGAATGTAATGATAGATACGTGAGTGCAGACATGTGTCGTCAAACGTACAAAGAAATAATAAATAATACAATTTCAAATACGAATGAAAACTGTGACATTAGTCAAAATTTCGTTTTTGACTAGAACGCAATTGCAAAGTCTTCAGGAAATCAATGAAAGGTCAATTTTAATACCATTGGGCCTATGGAATTCCGTGTAGGAGTAATGTTCGGATTGCTAGTACATCATTGTCATGTTAACACATTTCAATGGGTGATACAAAAACATCACAAACATCATAAGGGTCTCAGAGGTTTTGATTGTTTATTCAAATTAATTTTAGATGACCAGTTCATTAACAATACGAATCGAACACTTACTTCACCTGCACACACCCACTTGCACACACTTGCACATTTCTTTTCTTTCTTTAATTTCTTTCCACTTTTTATTCAGATACTTTCTAAAAAAAAATCTTTATACGTGACTCTCTATTCATCTACATACTCCTATAACAGCGCCATGTACCCCCCCCCCCCTTCCCGGCTGCTATCGACTCAAGCATCTTTGCTTATGATAGTTGGCCTCTGCAATTATCTTGATTATTTTTACTTACCCTCATACTTTCAAGCTTTCAACTATACATTTTTATTTGTGTGTATTAAGTTGTCACTCTTTATGTAAATCAATTATATTATATGCTATTATTGTTATTTGAATGTTTTATATTCGATGTATTAATAAATGCAGAAACATCTGCTAAAAAAAAATACACAAGGCTATAAACCTACCGGAAGTTGATTTTAAAAAATCAAACCAGACGACTGCAACAAGAAGAAGGAAAGGGGACGGTTTGGTGTTCCCAAGGGTAACAAGAAGTAATATAGGACATTTTATGGAACGACAGAGGTTTGTCACAAAGAGTGATCCTGATAGATTTGCCAACAAAAGTTTAAGATATTTGGAGGGGGGGGGGGGGGGAGGGTAGACCCTTAATATGACGTCCCTGAATAACAGGTTTTCACTGATTTTCCCTTTATTGTATAGTAACCCCCCCCCCACATCCACCCTTCTCTTTACCACATTCAACACTATTTCCAATATGAAGCAAATTAACTTCTATCGTATATTTATTTTGTAGATGAGTATTCTAGATACCTATCGGCTCATCAGTCATGATGATCTAGATAAGTTCTACATAAACCTCAAGAGTCATTATCCTGAGACAATAAGGTATGTACATGTAGAATCCTAGACAAATAACAGGTGTATCCAGGGTTGTCAGAAAAGAGGGGGGGGGGGGGGACGGCGGCGAAATGATTGAAAACTCGAAATCTATATAGCACTCGTGGGAAAGAAAATGACTTATTAATTATGATTCTATTCGAATATCAAGAAACAGATGATTCTAGATAAGCAACCAGACTAATTTTGGCCTTAATTTTAATCAAAGGTTCTTGCTGATCAGAAGGCACTAACCTGAACCCCGAGCCACTGAAAAAAAAGGCCGCAGTCGATTTTGTCATCCGTTGATAAGCTCCAGCAAACGTATCAGGTATTCTCAGGTTAAGATTATACGATATACACGGTCATTGATTTGACTGCCGTAAAAATCTAAAAGTAATTTTTCCATTATGACGGAAGAGTTTCATCGAGATGGTTGTAGTACTGGTTTGAAAGATCGTATATCACATCCGTAAGTAAAAATGACCTGTTACCGTTTCGATGTCTAGAGTTCAGACATCTTCCACGGGCGCGAATTGGCAGACTCATTCTGCCAATAAACTTTAGACTTTTAAGCTGTTTCAGGTAATTTTTACTTTTGGATGTTCAGGCCTACATGTATATTACTATGATTTGATGAATGCTCGTATAGATGATATTGTAATGAAATGCAGTGGGTAATTGCTTTGTTCACTCACACGAGTCCATGCTCATCTTCCTAAGGCTGACTTTATTGATAAGGGCATCAGATTCAGTGTCCAATGGTAGAGAGAGAGAGAGAGAGAGAGAGAGACGGCGGAGGAGAGCGAGGGAGGGAGACGAAGAAGGAGGGAGGAGAGGGAGGTAGAGCGAGAGAGAGAGAGAGAGAGAGAGGGAGAGAGAAGGGGGAGCCATAAAGTGATAGGGAGTTGACTTTTGACTTGGACGGTGATTCCTAATACATCAGTTTCCATTAAAAACCCAATATAGCCTCGCTATATTCCTTCTTCCTTTCCCAAAATAGTCAGTTGCCAGACACTTTGATCAATAACTGGAAAAGTGACTACTGAACATATAATAATTATTCCTATTCTCCTTCTCTTTCTTTCCGCAGGGAGACCATTGGAGTAAACGTTCAGCATTCGCCTGTTGATTATCTGAATCTGATCAAGACTATGAGTTACTCTTTCAAATACAAGCAAAATAATCCAGACGGTAATTTGTTCGAAGAATTTCAGAAGAGGTAACGATTTTTCTTATCATGGTTGAACAGAAACCTGAATATACAGATTTCCTTAGAGAAAGGATGAATGGTGTATAAACAATCATAAGCCAAACTAAGATGTGTTTCAGATTTTAAAGGAAAAAGACTCATCTTGGAAGATAAGCGCCAAAGTAATTTCTTTTTCACACTATCCGACTGTAGTATCATAAAAAACATCAATATTGAAAAAAAAAGACAATAAAATGTATACATTTTAGTCATAAATCTCAAAGAAATCAATTTTAAAGAAATCAATTCAAAGAAATGCCGTCGATTAAGCGGTCTGTTTACCAACTGAATATGTTACTGGCATTACATTTGTAGTTTGCATTTGAATGTATCCATGATTCGAAAGGAAATGATTACCTGCTGAGGTGAGAATCAAAGGAAGTCACGACCTTGGAGGAGAAAAAAGAAATTAGCACAGAGCAAGACAGAAACATAAACTAATACGAAAGAACCTTCGCGTCTCGGGGGAAATCAACACCTGAGCATCGTTTATTATTTCTTTGCTCGTCTTTACCTTTCTTTACTACGGTATAATATTGTCATTCTACTGGGAAGATTGTAACGGATGAAAACCTCTCTTATGTTAGCACGGTTAAAAACCTTTCCCCGCCGGGGAATCGAGCACAGGTCACTTACGTCATGAAGACGAGAAACTATCATATAAAACGAAACACAGTGAATCAATTACGATACACATCGCAACCTGTAAAGCACTAAATAATATACGAGAGCAACATCATTCAACTAATTTTAAACTATTTAACTATCGCCACCCTCGCCAAAAATCGGAGGATGCAAAATGAAAAAAACAAACAGATGCAGATCAAAATAATGTCGTGCCGTATCGTATCAACTCTCAACGTCTATTATCCAGTGTTAACTTTTTCTTGTTTTCTATTAAAGGTACTGTGTCCCATTTGCAGGCCAAACAAATAAAAAAGTTAAATTCCAACGGCATTTGAAAGATAATACTAATGTAGAACTTCCCTCAAAACAAAAGGGCTCGAAAATGTCTATTTGTGGGAAGATAACGACCGTTATAGTTGTCGAATCGAATTTAGGGATCGCAGTCGTTTGATTAGATCTTAATATCCTAATATTTATTCCTATGTTGCTATACATGTAATATGAAGAGTTGGCAGAGGTGATCATCTCGGTAGACCGACATCCCGCGAAACGACACTTCATTTCACGATTTAAGAAATATGATCCACCTAAACTATATCGGGGTGACTTATATCCATCGTAATGCCTCCATTTATACAATATGTGCTATACAAGTGATGTAATAGGATAAACTAGTCTTGCTTTTGCGATTTAAACGAGTTGGCAAAGGTGATCATCTTGGTAGACCGACAGCCCACAAAACAAAGATTAAAAAGTAGTGGGTCTCATGAACTTGTGGCATACAATACTTGACACTTTTCCCCTCTTTTCTCCCCAACTTGTTTCTAGCCTTGAGGACGTTATGGAAACCGGAGGAGGAGCCACAGATGGACGATTCCGAGTCACTTTCTGGCACGATATATCCATTGGTCAGAAAGGAATATCGTGAAATCAGTATCAGTTAGGTTAGGATAAAGAAAGGATAACATCAATATCTGGATTTATTAAAAATAGGTCATATTATGTCCCCCTCTCCCCCCCCCAAACAAAAAAAGAATCTGTGTCTTTTTGTCGACGATGAGGAGAGTTACAGATTTAAAACATAAAGCGCCTTCATTTTACGATATAACAAATATGCTCCACCTAAACTATATCGGGGTGACTTATTTCTATATTAATGTCTCTGTTACTTATTTACATATAAGTTTGAAATTTGAATGTTATTGTTACAACCATTTTGATAATGATCAAGATTATTCTCATGGTGCACTGTAATGGCAAGAGAGACGGACGATATTGACGCATAGAGCCATGCATTTGTTATTTTGATGCAAGTATATAATGGGATCAAGGTGAAAAGTGATAAGCTGTGATAAGTAATAAATTATAAATTAATTGTCGTGGAAGATTTAGTCGCTAAAAGGCCCATTATAAAAAAGTACTTTTCATTATTTTCAATGCCATGTCAATTAATGTGTTAATATCAGAAGAACCAAGCAATTAATGAGCCACCAAAGGTCCTTGGCTCACTTGTTTGTGATGCACTTGATGGCTGCCAAGTCGGTCCAATAAGTGGATGTATGGCGGCTTGAATTATTGGTCTGGAAAAACGTAACCGGAATAATAATGTATCCGCGAAGCACTTAGAGGTGTCGTCGATTATATATCAAGTGCTATAGTACGTAAACTGAAATATTATTATCATTATCATTAACATGGGTAGTTTGTTATATTTGTAAATTTGAAGCATTATTTTTTAATATTAAGTACCCCGTGGAAGAACAGCTGTTCTCTACTATTACAGCAGCGATTGGCCATCCACCGTATCTGAAACTCAAATTCCATTACGTATGTCATCCATGTTTCATTTGATTACGAAAACAAAAAGAAACGAAAATTAATATGAGATTTACAAAAAAGGAGTATACAATGTCAATGAGGCAATTAGTGTAATATTTATTATAAGAAAAGAAGATTTTGAGATGTATATTATTCTGTAAAATGACGATGATTTAACAAGAAATTATGAGATGATATTGACAACCACGGTAATCTTTACTGATCGTTCTCATCATCAATATATATTTTAAATGTTTCACTATTTCGAATGCAATGATATTCATGTATTGTATGTGTAGGATGTATTATTTGACGATTTTCTTTGACTATATTAAAGAATCGTAATGTCCGCTCACTTTAATAGCACATTACGATAACAAACTGTATTCTAGCTGTAACTACCAATGACTACGTACATATACATATGCATGCACGGGTGATAATAAGAAGGTAAACTGTTTGAATTTTAATCCAAAGTGTAAGAATGTCTTTAAAGACTAGTAGACTAATATTATCAACCAAAAATTCGTTTCGTAGTTGAAGTGACGCTGTCTCTATTTATATCGATCCATCAATGCAATAAAATCACATATACCATTATCGATTTACGCTCATCCAATTTAAGTTGAGTTTCATATCGACTTTTCTTCGGAAAACCAAGATTTCGTTTGTCCAAGGGCGTCGCTAATAGTTTTTTTTCTCAATTTTCTATTAACAGTTTTTGTTGTTTATTTGCTCTATTGCCAACATGTAAAAGGGAGCCTCATTAGAGAGGCTTGTCGGAAATTTTTCGGGTTATCTTGTGAGACATTTCAATTAAAAATAAACCGGCAATGCCCCTCGTTCTGTCATAATCGCTTACATTAATTTTTACAAATTCACTAATTTTCAGAAAATTATTTCCCACCAAGGCTTTGATTTGATTCTATGTCTATTGAAAATCATCGTACTGTCGAAATTTAATTATGGTATTTTTATAATATAACAGAGGGAACCTATTTTCCAGTAAAAGAAAATAAAAATGATTTGTAAGCCTACTCAACGTTAAATTTACAGAGTGCAATGGAAACGCTAACCGCATAATTGTTTTTGCAAAAAAATAATTGTAGAACTGTAACATCTTACTTTTTCGCGGCGTCTTAGCTTTGACCAAAAGGTCGAAATTATCACCATCTTGCACGAACTTTCTCATTTCAAAAGCAGTCAGAGAATACATGTAGATAAAGAAGAGACTCTTTGTTCAAACAAATGAGATGGAAGTGAGGACGACAGACAAAATGCAATTTAGATTAGTCATGACTAGATAATATGTGTTGGACTTTAGCAAAATTATGTGGAATTTGGAAATAATTGTGACTACACGAGTCTAGGCTTACATGACTGGAATATAATCGGATTGATTAAAAAAAAAAAAAAAAAATACGCCCTCTTTCTTGTCAAACGCACAATAGCAAAATACTATTATTATCATTTTCTATTTGACTTTCTGTGACTGTCGGTAATAATCTTTTGTCCTCCTTGCTCCAGCGATTTTAAAAAGCCTGATGCAAATTTAACCTTTTCAATTTGCAAGAAAAAGCTATAAAATGCATCCAGGTCGTGCATGAAGGCACTTTGACAATGACATTACAAGCAAAGTGGACTTTAGAACAAGTTGTTGTGTTGTGCAGTTATTTCTCGGTATGTATTCGATATTTCATGCTGTTGTATGAGTGAATATATAGTATGCTGATATCACTCTAATGAAATGTGTTGACTGATGACAGTAATATACTTCATGTATATCATTTTGCAGGCAATATAACTGTATATAATTTGACAATGACCTTTATTCTCATATACAGATAAACGGTAAGCAGTATTTACTATGCAAAATATGATTCGGCTGTATTAAAAACGAATGTACATAGGTGATTTCCTGTTGTTGATTATGGTCTTATGCTAGAATGTAAGTTGCTTTGTAAATTATGCATGCTGATATTTAAAAAAATGCATAAAGGCTACACTTTGCCTTGGGAGTGTTTCACAAAGACTAAGATTGAACCAAATTCATGACCCCATACCAAAACATTGTATCATCTAGGTAATACAAAGTTTTGGTATGGGGTCATGAATTTGGTTCAAATTAACAAATTGGAAGCATATGAGATCCTACAATATTCAGTAACCGTTGTCGCTGTTGAAATCAAGTCTAAAGAGATGAAATTGTAAATAATAAGCTGTTCGTGTTGTATAGCTCCCTCTTAAGGTCAAGATATCAATTTAGCTATAAAATAATGTTTCTTGACTAGAATCGACCGATTGGATATTCCCATTTGGAAATTATATACCACAACTACATATTCTGAGATTTTCATGGTCGCAGCTACCATTGTTTGGCCGTAGGCGCTATTTGAAATTTATCGAAATTTACCGGGAGCACCGGTAAATTTTTTAATTCAAATTTTCTCGAAAGCAGAAGTGTTTTAGGGGCTAAATTTTCTGGTGCTTATAATACATCCACAGGGGCATCCAAATATATACAAATTGTAAAGAATCACTATCCAGCCAATTTTCAAAATTTACCAAAACTTTGTATTACCTTTAAGTTGGACTTAACTATGGCAGGCCATTTTTGTGACTGTTTCCTCTCACCATTTACTTGCATTGGTCTCTCAAGGGACGTACAAATCATGGTCACAAATCTACAAAATTTCAATTTGTCGATAATTCATTATTGAAGGAAAAAATGTTATCTAAAGATCATAATGGTAAGAGCAACCAGTGGCATGAATGGCCTTAAAGTTGATCTCAATCTTTGTGAAACACTCCCCTGTACAATAAACATTCATAAGCCTAGCTACTCCATATTCGTAGAGAGCACGGCTGTATAATTACAATGGCATGGACAGGGAATGGTGGAACAAGCTTGTAACAATGTGTCAATTTATAAGGGTTGATAGATTAGCGTATTTACAGTTTATCATTTACATATTTTGTCTAGCCAAGAGGCTTTTACGAGTGTGTCGTATGGTATTGATGACATCGTCAACACTTTTTACAGTGATAAATTGTCAATAAATTTCCTAACTGTGAGTTATGTTTTTAAAGGGAATCCATGGTGAATTGCAAATATATTATATGAGCTGCGTTGAGCATTGAACATCAAGTTACATTTAAGATATATATCATAGATGTCAAATGGTAGTACAAGTAGTAAACCTAATGCCAAACTGCCATTTTCTGTATATACATGTATGACAGATTCACCTAGTATAAGTAAAACACCCCATTACTGTTTTGTGTGTTCTAGATTGTAAGACTTATTATTTAACCTGTGCATGGATATGATATAAGTATATCTTTCATAAAAATTATGATACTAATAAACAAGAACAGAAACATTACCTGTGCCTGCCCACACCTTTTACTACCATTCAATGTAGTATATGATTGTGTAATTTCCTAAATATATATTTGATGTAAAGTGAGAAGGCAAAGAGCAGGGTAGAAATATGTTGAAAGATAACCTGTAGTAACAACGTATGTCAATATTTGTGTGCCTCTTATAGTTTGACAGCGGTCAGCATAGAAATAATATTTGAAGTAGATAAGGATTCCATTTGCTTTCTGGAAATTTGAACAAAGAAAATATCAAAGAATACGAATAGAAACTTGATTTATTTGGCCTGGTCCTACCGGCTGGAGAGTGTTACCATATTGCAATGACATAGAAAGTTATATTTCATGCTGGACGCCCACACGCACGACAGACTGGTTCTGCATTGGATTCCATTACTTTGTGCAGCGTGAATATCATAAAAGCATATAGGATGATGATTTTTAGTAATTTTATGAGGATAAGCCCTAGCTATTTTCTGGTTAATTAGACATCATAACATTTAGTGGGAAGCCATTATACAGCGCAAAATCATCCACTTTGATAATTGAGCCTGAAGGTGAGTTAATGACACCACGTAGTCACTGACTATCTCTCTCTCTCTCTCTCTCTATCTCTCTCTGTCTCTCTCTCTATTCATAATCATTGCTTTTTCTTAATGTATTCATCTGTATACGGTCAGCAGGAGGGGCGAGTAACTTATATCACCTCATTTTCTTTAAGAAAATGCATCATCCTTTTAAAATGTTCTGCAGGCATATCTCGGTTTCAACACCCATTTTTTTCTTCTTTTCATGTAGCTATTCTGAGAAAATCACACGACAGACA